CCAAATTCCAACTTTTTGCAACTTCTGAAGGCAGGAACAGCATTTACCTCCTCAAATCATCTGGCACTTCACCCATCCTCCATCATCCTCCATGATTTCAAGAAAATAATAGTGGTCCTGAAAGTTCTTCAGCCAGTTCCTTCATATTCTTTGATGAAGTTCATTCTGCCATGGAGATTTGAACTCACTCGGAGTAGTAAGGTATACCTTGACTATTTGTTTATCAATCTCAAGCTGCAATCCTACCCCCTTCATTTGTCTTTCTAGTCTCTATTGGGAGAAAACCAAGCTAAAGTAGGAACTGAACACTTCTGCCTTTTCTTTATCATTTTTTCTATCCCTACTGAGTAGCTAAGCTACTCTTTATTTTTCCTCTCTTTTGCTATGAATATACCTGAAGAATGCTTTTTTGTTGCTTTGTTTTTAACCTTATCTCATTCTCAACTTTTGCTTCCTAACAATTCTTTGCTACATGTCTGTACTCTTCTTTGTGGTCTGGACTTCTTTCCACATCCCATATGTGTCCTTTTTTTTTGGTTTCAGGTCCTCTCTGAGCTCTTTGTAAAGCCACATTAGTCTCTTTTATTTTGTCATTCACCTTTGTTTTTCCTTGTTAGAATTGTTTGTAATTGCGCCTTTAGAATTTCCTTTTTTAGAAACTCCGACTCCACATGTAGAAAAATGTAAATTAACAGAACAATATTCTTGGTTTTGTTGTTACAGAGGTGCTCCTGGTCAGTCGAAAGAGTGATCAAGGAAGAGGGATGCAGCTGATACTGAATGGGATTACACTCCCTCTGAAAACACAGGTGCATGACTTGGATGTTCTCCTGGATTCATCTCTGAGTCTGGATGCCCATTTTTCAGCAGTGGCCAGGAGTGCCTTTACACAGTTAAAACTAGTGCACCAGCTGTGTCTGCTCTTGGAGATATCTAATCTGGCCATGATGATACACAACTTAGTTACATCCCATCTGAAATACTGAAATTTGCTCCATATGTGGCTGCCTTTAGACAGTATTTAGAAACCCAGCAGGTCCAAAATATTGCAACCAGATTGTTGACTGGGGCTTCCGAGCTAGATCAACAATCCAAAGACAGCAATGAAAAGCATGGCCATTAAACATTTGCTTTCTGGCTACAATTTAAGGAGGAACTGTAAAGTCCTAATCAGCTTGGCTTTCTTCTGTGTTGCTTCCAGTTTTCTGGAGTACACTCCCTTCAGAGTTGGTAACAATTCCCAATTTTGTTGGTTTTAGGATGGGTGTGACATGTATCTTCCATGTTTCTTTTAACCTAATATCATTAAAGTGATTTTACATTTTGAAATAATTCACTTGTCTTTCTATTCATGACCCACTTTCGTATTATTTTGGAGTGGAAAATGGGGCAAAAATTTAGGAGAGTAAAGAAAGAAGTGAAGCCATGCAATTTTTATTAACAGAATTAAGAAAAGAAGTACTACTTCATAGAACGTATTTATGACACTTTAATAGGTAGTCTATGGGGTCATGAAGAGTAAGACACGACTAAATATTTATGACACTTTAATAGGTAATCTATGGAGTCATGAAGAGTCAGACACGACTAAACAATGACGAATAGTTAACCTGGACTTCTTTCTTGTTAGGCTGAAACATTTCACTACTCATCCAAGTAGTTTCTTCAGTCTTGGAGGACTAGCAGAATGTTTCAGCGTAACAAGAAAGAAATTCAGTTGCCATGACCCAGCTCCAGATAACCTCACCCTTATGACTGAGAATCTTCACAGATGTTTTAATAGGTAACATTCCCATTGTTTTAGGTGACTTTTTAAAGGTTAGACAGAGTAACTGAGAATATGCCTACCACAAGCTTGTTATATAAAGCCTCCCTGTTTAGGAGCAATATGCCTCTGAATATTACTTGTTAGGCGATAACAGCCATCTTTAAGAAGTACCCAGTCTGTGTGATGCCCAGATGTTTCTGGGTAGCCACTGTGAGAGAGGATAATGACTAACTGGGCATTTGGCTTGACCTAACAGAAATATTCTAACTGCCATTGTAAGAGGTACCTATCATCTCTGTACTTTCTAAAAAGTTCAAATGCGATTTCATATCCAAGTGAATCAGTTTCCAGCTGGATCGATGGAAATTCAGTTTTGTTTCTTGCATGACTGCATAAAAGTAAGCTATGCGTGTGGGCAAGTGCCCGGATCATGACAGGAAAGTACAATTATTTGTGAGTCTGGAAAAAACAATGATGATGAAATTATACGATAGCAGCAAGCGGGCAGGCGAAACCCCGACCGATACAACAGGAGAAATAAAACCACAGGCACTGTTTTCTGCCAATGAAAAAGCTCCCAGCACTGCAAGACCAGGGTTTAATGCCTTCCCCCTTCCTCATTTAAAAATGTCAACACAAACACCAAGCGAAAGGCACGCAAAATCGAAATGTCTCCGAAGTCTCCCTCGTAGCACGTATTTTCCTTTCTTTTGACTGAGTCACAACCGTAAACCCCCCACCCCGCTTTTTTGAACCTTCTGCACTCCTCTCCAGCAGCCCCCATCAACCCTTACAGCGTCATTGACAACATTTTACACCTTCGTCCTGATTGGATACTCTCTCCCAAGGCGTCCCGCCATTGGTCGAAGCGCACGGAACCTTTCAGCAGAGGCGGGCCTGAGGAACGGAAGCCGGAGAAGAAATGGGAAAGGTTGGGGTTGCCATAGCGGCGGCGGCGAAGAGGGTGGAGGCGGGGAAAAGAGCCGTGGTCGAAGAAAGGAAACCCGGAAGAGCAAAGGATTGTGGGTAATTCCGCCTCTTGCAGATAACGACCGTTGAGTAATTGGCGGGGGGAGGGCAGAAGAGTTCGGGGTCTTTTAGAAAGAAAAAGAATGTAAATAATTTGGCCCTGAAGTGTCAATGTTGTGGAAGCTGAGGGATCTGGGTCACTTCCCGTGGCCTCACTTCCCTCCTCCCGCGAGGGGTTCTGGGTAGTTTGAGGCCAGCTCTTTCTGTCAGCTCTTACCTGGGGCTCCTGGGCGTCCCATCTGTGGTGTGACCTATGCGTTACATCTCAGTGGGGTTCACTTCTATCGGGAAGAACCACCGTATCGTTGTTTTTTGTTTTTTGTTTTTGTTCCTTTCATGAAGGAGGGAAAGGACTTCCTTGGGAGATGTTGATTTACTGTACAGTACTTGGAAATTGAGTGGGAACTGCTCTGAAGCAAAAGGCAGACACTTAACCATGTACAGTATATGTTGTTAGGCACTTTCAAATCAGAACTGACTTATAGCAGCCCTAATAGGGTTTTCATGTTATGTGAAATGTTTAAGGAGTAGTTCGCCAGAACTGACTGGACAACTTGAGGATGATTAGTACCAGTTTCACATCCCCAATGATTTCCCATGAATTAGTGAAATCAGAATGCCGGCCTCTGGCGTGTTAGTCTGTCACTCTGTCCACTACACTGCACTATGTATTACCCATGCATACTGTATATGGAAGTAAATTTTAGTGGGACGTATTCAAAGTGTCTTCTTGATTGCAGCATCTGTGGCTGCATCAGCTTTTTCCACAGATTGCATTTTGAGTACAACTTGTTCGTTTTGACAGAGCAGTTTGGGCTGCCAAGCAAGTTCATCTTTGCCTTGTGGATCTTGAGAGAAAAGTGACATGGGGTGATTTCCAAAATTTTCCAAATAAAATTTGGAGGAATACTTCCAGGAATATATTTCTAGAGGTTTACTTTTGCAGTGCTGTAACTACTACCCATCTCACAGGGGTCTGTTCAGTCCATTTGTGTGAATCATTGTTCTGAGAACGAGTCTTGACAGGAGGAAGATAAGTGAAGGCTGCATTTGTATCTTAATCTACATGAAATACTATGTTGCTTTTGTGGCAACAACGCTAAACACATGCTTTTGGAAATTGCACTTTTGTCTAAGGAGGTAGCATTACAGGCATCTGAATCTGCACGAAGGCTGTACTGAATTTGGGTCATGGTGGTGCTTGGGCAGCACCTGATGAGAGATGCCCTTGCTAATGTCATCATCCACAAGTTATTGGCATACACAGAGGGTGGTTTTTCAAGAAATGTGCTGTGGATCTGCATTATCTGTGCATTGGAAAGACCAAAAATCCCACAAATATATTGGTAGAGGTGGTGAGGGTGAAAGACAGCTGACCATGGAAATAAAGGATTAAGGAACGGGAGTAGCCAGGAAGGCAAAGGAAGGGTTGCCTGGGATGAGCCATTGTGTTCCTTGAGACAGGAAACTGCATTGCCCACCTTGAAGTGGAAACATTGGCATGGCTGCTGGTCGTGTTATCTGAGTCAGTTATTGTCTGATTGCATGCTATATGCTCAGATCAGCTGTGAGTATATGCTATATGCTCAGATCAGCTGCAAATAAAATTTGCACTGGAAATTAGCTGTATGTTTGCAGCAGGAAAACACAAAGTGAAAAGGATTGGTACCTGATTGTTCTTGCATGTCATGTGAAGTGCCAGAACTGCGGAAGCAGAACTGTCCACCCCACTGCAGAGGCTGCTTGAGAAGTTAATAATAGCCTTATGGAGATGCAGTAGGCAGACTCTTCTATGACAAAGTACTCTTGATTCCAAGAAGTCTCATTCTCTCAGCTCCCACCTTCTACACACTCTACTTCAGAGAGCCTGTGATGAAGCTGCAGGAGAAGACAGTCAGGATGGTGACCCTGTCTCTCACATAGAGACAGGCAGAAGTGGGTTGGCTTAAGTAACCCATTTGGGACAGTGCTTAATTTTTATGATACCATTACAGTATCCATAAGTGTCTCCTGGTCTGAACAGAATCAGACTTATTCTGCTAAAACTACAGGCCATTCTTGCTTTTATTAATACACACTACTTCTAGTTCTGTGCCTAATTTATGAATGTTTGCATAGGAGCAATACTCTAAAGGCATATGTAGGGAAACATTACATTCTGTACTGTATATATACATACATTTCAAAACATGAATATCCAACACTGTGCCCTGTATCTCCCTATCAGTGGAATCATATGGGAACAGCCTGGAATTCTCCTTTGTTCTGCATCCTAAGGAATTGTTGCCCATGCTTTCTATGATAACTAAAGACAGTCTAGCAAAGAAAAGCCACTACTGTGCCTGCAACAGCCATGCAAACAGAGGTGGGTAGTATGCAGGGATAGGCAAGCAGGGGATAGGCAAAAATAATCACACTCGCACAAACTCATGCAGGGAAACATTCACACATACATACATACAGATATTCCCCTGCCCTCATCCTGTTCATCCATTCCACATCTGAATTTAAGACTACAAAATAATCTTACCCCCATCCCAATTAGAAATCTTCCTACTTGGTACTGCCCTCTGTGATTGATTTCAGAGTTGAACACTTCGCCTATTTGCTTACATTGCTTTATTATCATTCTCTCTTCTGCCTTCCTCTACACCAGTGGCTCTTAACCTTTGTTACTCAGATGCTTTTGAACTGCAACTCCCAGAAACCCCAGTCAGCACAGCTGATGGTGAAGGCTTCTGGGAGTTGCAGTCCAAAATTCCTGAGTAACCCAAGGTTAAGAACCAGTGCTCTACACCCTCTCATTAAGAGGCTCCATGATGAGGTTGGAGTTCAAAAGGAGGGGAAGACAGGACAGTGGACTGTGACCCTGTCTCTCATAGAGATAGGCAGAAGTGGGTTGCTCAAATAGCACATTTGGGACAGTGCCCCATGTGCCTGAATGGACAATATTCCATTGCGTATAGAGAAAGCCAGAAGAGCCACTTGTTTCCTGCCTTCTACTGTAATTCCTATCTTTTTTTTTAACAATACATTATTTAGGCAGGAATCCTAAACTCTTAGCAACTTGTAAGTTCCATGGTAATTAATGGAACTTGTTTCTAAATCAGTGCATGTAAGAGTGCACTGTTTAAGAGCCTGGTGTTTGTTAAACTGAACTAAACTGTAATACATGTCCATAGGAAATGTCAAGGAAAGTATATGACTGAATGGCATGACTGAAATTGTGTTAATTAGTCTCCATCCCCCTGCAAAATGAGGTTGAGGCTGTATATACTTATGAGTAAACATCATAGTTGGCCTCTGGAACAGTTCCTTGTATTGATTCCCGTGTTGATATAGGAAAAGTAGAGAGAACATTTTGATGTACAGTAATATCATATTCCTGAGGACTAAGTGTACCACCATTGTTAGAATATCACATACACTATTTGGTGTTCAAAGACAATGTCCATCATGATCATCATTGTTTTTCTTGGAAGCTGCAAGAGTGTGGCTTTATAACTGTTTTTAGTACTTTGGTTCCAAATATCTGACCCTAACAGAGATTATGTCTATAGCATATACTAGGGTAACGCCTGTAGTATGTTTGTGTTTCCAGAGAAGTGGAAGACTCTGCCTTCTGGAATGTTTTTCTTTACCTTATAGGTAACTAGCCACCATGAATTTTGAAGGTCTTGACCCAGGCCTTGCAGAGTATGTACCTGCCCTCCATCCTGCCCTGGATCCCCACCTCAATCCTAGCCTGTTACAGAATGTGGAGCTTGATCCAGAGGGGGTGCCTTTGGAAGGTATCCCTGTGTCTGACTCAGTGCACATCATGGAGGGCATGTACTCAGAACTCCACACGGTTGTCTCTGAAGTGGGTGTGCCTGTCTCCTTTTCCCATTTTGATCTACATGAAGAAATGCTCTGGGTTGGAAACCATGGGGTAAGTCATGTTTCTTATGTGCCAGTCACTTCATTAACTATTATGAAATGGGAATGTGTATTCTGTTAGATCATACTGATTGATCAAGTTTTATCGGCAAAGAGGTTTGGAGTTAATGATATGGTCAGCAAAGCTCATAAAGGTCATTTTGTTTCCAGTGATATATGTCAAGCCAAAGAATTTTGGTTTATTGTCTGTGAATTTGACAGCTCCTTGTCTGCTCTTGAAAAGATATACTTGTGATTTAACTGCCCATGTGCAGACTGCTACCGAGTAAGGCTGCACTGAATTGCAGATTTAATTGGATGAGAAGGGCTACTTACCAACACAGCGGTATGGGAGCAACATTAACTTGCAAACTCAGCTCTTGAAACTCTTGAGTGGTTGGTTAAACACCCTCCTCCCTTTGCTGAGGAATCATGCTCACAATTTTTTTCCTGAATAAATAAAGTTTATTATAGTAATGTACTTGGAACAGAAAAGATGGCAGAAGTCAGAGTTCTAGCTAACCAAGTTGGAGACGTTAGGAGCCATGCCTTCCTCTTTCTCTCTAGTGAACAAAGGCAAGATTTCACCTCCTTGTGAGAGAAGTATGTGAGAGAAGGAAATGACAACAGCAAACCTAATACTATTTATTTATTTATTTATTTATTTGATTTGTATCCCGCCCATCTGGTCTGGTTGACCACTCTGGGCGGCTTCCAATAAAAGTATTTCTCGCAAAACATACAAATATTACCCTGTTTCCCCGAAAATTCAGCAAGACCTACCCCGAAAATAAGCTCCAGTTAAGTGAAACCCTGCCCTCCACCCTTGTGCAGCAACCAGGAGATGATGACATGACTGTATTTGAATAAATGTAGATCGTTGTACATGAAAAAAAAAATCCCCTGAAATGCGATTTTGGAGCAAAAATTAATATAAGACCCTGTCTTATTTTTGGGGAAACACGGTACTAGCAATCTAAGCTCAAAGGAAGGTCAACACAGATCAGAGCAGGTAATTGACAATCTAGGAAACCTGAAGAGGTTGTCTCTCTTTCTGCTCCTTCACGTGCAAGAACATTCATCTTCTGGAATGTAGTAATGTAAGTTGAGTTGCTCCCAGTCACTTCCAGTAATAACCATTATCAGCTGTCTCTTGCAAGTGGTAGTAACCCCAGGTTCCTGCAGACTCTCCATTAACTGTTCAAAAGGCATAAGTTGTAGGGAGACTTAGGGTGAGTACATTAGTGACAGGGAGTGATCTAGTCTGGGCTGCTTTGGAATGGTTGGGCTTGATTAGATTGCTCGTTTTGTTCACATGGAAATCACTTCTGCAGCCCCTGAAGTTGCAATCTAATCAACCACATATTGGCATTTGATTGCCCCATTTTGGTCCATTTGGTTGCAGTGTGTCCCTTCTCGTCTTGCTCCTCACCTCCTGCCTTCTCCTTTGCAAAAGGTGTCAGCTGGTTGAGAAACAGCTGGCTTCTTTTTGCTTGTTGGTGGCCATTAATGCAGTACTTCTATGCACACAAAGAGGAGGGTACCATGTTTAAACCTGTAGTCTAAGAACATCTGGGAACCTACGGTTGGAAACTACTGGCTTAAGTGATGCAGTGCAATAGTAGGAAGTATTTTTTAAAAAAAATTGTAAGAAAAACTAAAACAAAACTGTCTCTTTTCACTACAAAATAGGACGTAGACTGCCATTCGCAGTCATGGCCAGACCACACCCACCTCTGCACATCACCACTAAGGTATACGAAGGACATGCCAGAAACCCACACTGGAGCAGTCTAGGGCAAATGTTTTTCTTACATAGCAGGAAAAAAAATGGTTATTTGGACCAACCCCAATTGTTCCAAATGAACAATAGGCTCCAACCCTAGACCAGTCTGGGATCGATTGGTCCCCATTAGAGAGACTGTGATGCCCTGTACAGTTGTCATTTTTTAGAGTGATCGCAGCTGTTCCACCAGGGGCCTACAAAGCAGGATAAGCTCCCACGTAGCCAGCCTCACAAGTGACTGAGATGTCTCTGTGTATACTAACACACAGTCTCACTGTAGTATTACTTGTGGCTGGAGCGATCATGTGTCTGCCTAGGACCCATATTTCCTATGGCATTATTGGGGAACAGTTGAGTAAGGAATAGGGTTTGGAGTTCTTTTGTTCTCTTGTCCAGCTATCCAAGTAGGAACTTTAGAAGTGGATTGAGCAGCTGCCATCTGAAAAAGACAGGATTTTTGTCTTGTTATAATTCTGATGTGTGTTTTTTTAAATAAGCCCAGGAAATCCAGGAAAATTCAAAGAAACCAGGAGTATCCAAAGCATCCTAACAACAGGATATCTGACAACACCTTCTGGGTGTTTTTTAATGTTACATAATACTGTAAATAAAGCATAAATATAATATAACCATCCTATCAACATTAGCGAAAATGCAATATAAATAAAAAGAAAAACAGGCAATAAAGCATTAAAATAATTGATAACAATGAGAAATAAAAATTAGAGAGTGAATAATTGTTCACTTTGCTTTTGCTTTCTTTATTTTAAAAAGTCTTCAGAATACCTTTATTTATTTCTTGGGTATATTCCTAACCAAATTGAATGTTTGATTTCACGCATGCTTTGCTCTTGTGTGTAATGCTAAAGGGTAGATTGACTATTCTAAAACATTTTGGAGAAAACAGGGAAATGATTTCTACTGACAAATCTTGAAAATATTTGAAGTATTTCAGTTTAAAATCTGAAAGAAATTTTGGTGAAAATAACAATGGCTTAACCTTCTTGCCCTCAAATTCTTTGTTTTGATTCATCTTGTCAGGGATTTTAATGTAAGTCAACCTTCCTTCATCTGGCTCCTCCAGATAAAATAGATTATAGATCCCATCATCCCCGGGCAGTGTAAACAAGTTTGCGTTGGGAGACAATGGCAATTGCAGTCAAACACATCTTGGAGGGTCACTAGGTTTAGGAAAGCTGGTATGAACCGCACCCTAGTGTTAGGAAACAATTTGTATAGTGATCTGTTCAAATGTAATTTAATTTCTAATCTGACCTACCATTTAAGGGTGTTTACCATAAATATATGAGGCTTTATTCAATTAGTGTTTTTTTTTTTTGAATGGGGAAGAAATTAGCTTGGAACGGAGCACTGCACCATATTCTTGAATGCTATTTTATATATATTTGTTTTAATTCTGTTGCGGTTAGCTGCCTTGAGCTCCATAGCACCATTTGGTGAGAAATCAACAAAGCTTGTTTTAATGAATAGTACACTCAGCTGGCTGCACTGAAGGCCAATCTTAGTGGAAAGATGCGGGTAGTACATTTTGAAATGGAATGAAGGAGCATATTCTTATTCTTTTGTGAGCCCATTACAAACGACAGAACTATGGCTTGTAGTCCACCACGACTAGATAGGCGGGATATAAATTAAATAAATAATAATAATAATAATTGTGACTAAGCATGCCCAGGAACAAGTATTTGCTAAAATTTGTTGAGATGGTCAGCTAATAATAATAATAATACATTAGCCAGAGGTCAATTAGCTGTGGCTGATTAACCTGTTGTGTGGAACTGTAGAACAGATCAGATGTTCCAGTGAGAATTAAAAACATGGAAAGGAGGATGGACAATGGAAGACAATTTTACCCTAGTTCTTTTCAGCTAAGGTGGCTGTTTCAGTAGCCATGTTTTTATTTCTCTTTCTCATTCGTTCCTGCCTGGAGTGTCATATCTGAAATAAGGATGACAGCTTTGCTTTTCTTTATTTCAGGGACATGCCACCTCTTTCTTTGGCCCAGCCCTGGAACGTTACTCCTCCTTTCAGGTGCACAGCAGTGATGACATTCGACAGATCCAGAGCCTGGAAAATGGGGTGCTTTTCCTGACCAAAAACAACCTCAAATACATGTCCAGAGGGGGGCTGATAATCTTTGATTACCTGTAAGTGCTTTCTACTAATTGATACCATGCTGGAGTGGCAGATGTCTTTGGAACTCTTTGGATTTGAACCATTTGGATTTTTAGACTCCACCTCCCAGAATTCTCAGAGAATTCCCCAGGTAGAATTCTGAAAATTCTAGCCAACAGACCCATACATGCATGCACCAACATTTTACTCCCCTGGGCCCAGGGCTTATCTCAGAAGCTGTGTGGCTGTCTTGGACTTACTTTCTGCTGTTAATGGACAGAGAAGGAAGCTGCTGAGGTGCTTCCTGGAGGTTGTATTCTCACCGTTCTTTAGCCTCTATAAAAAGTCACCTCCCAAAGAATTATGATGCCCAGGAAACACTGGAGTAGCTTCCTTTTTCTGTTTTGTGTGTTAACAATAAGAAGTCAGCCTGAAATAGCCATGCAGCTTCTGAGATAAGCTCTGGGCCCGGGTGAGTGAAATGTTGGTGTGTGAGTCTGGGGGCTGGAACTCTCAGAATTCTACCTGGGGAATTCTCAGAATTCTGGGCGTTGGAGTCCAAAAATAGCATATTCCTATTAAAAACCACACTCATCCTGGCCTGTTTTTCTGCTAGCTTTATGGCTGTGTCACTGAGCTGGAGAAGAATTGAATCTGGTATAATTCATCCCACTCCTTCTCCACCCAGATTGCTCTGGTGACAGATCTTTGAGGCAGACAAAATAAGATTTTCCGACACATAGCAGCTGGCACGTCTAGGTTAGGATTGCACTGCCTGAAACATAAAGCTTTCTATTTGCATTGGGATTCAGCCTGTGCAGAATGGGGTTATGCTCCCTTTGAAAACACAGGTGCGCATATTGGGGATGCTCCTGGGTCCCTGTTTGAGTTTGAATGCTCAGGTTTTGGTGGTGACTAGGAATGCCTTTACAAGTAATGCACCAGCTGCAGCTATTTCTGGACATGTCTGATCTGTCCACAGTGACACATGCCTTACATGTGTCACTGTGGCAGTGTTACATCCTGGCTGTGACACACTTTACTTGGGGCTCCCTTTGGAAAGTGTTTGGAAACTTCGGTGGGTCCAAAACACTGCAGCCAGATTGTTAACTGTAGCTGGTTACAGGAATCATGTAGCTCCCCTGTTACAGCAGTTCCATTGGCTGCTAATCTGTTGGCTTCTGATCTGTTTCCAGGCACAATTTAAAGTGCTGTTTTTAACCCATAAAGCCCTACATGGCTTGGGACCAAGCTATTTCAAAGACCACATCTCCTTTTATCAGCCTGCTTGGGGTTTATGATCATCAGAGGGAACCTTTCTCTCAGTCTCACCACTTTCACAGGTGCATTTGGGAGGGGGGGAGGGCATGGGAGATAGCCTTTTCTATTGCTGCTCCCAGCCTCTGGAACTCCCTCCCACAGCCAACCAGGCTGATCCCATCTTTACTGCCCTTCTGCAAGCAGGTGAAGACCTTCATCTTCAGGCAGGCTTTCCCTTAGTGACTGGCTAGCTAACTGAGGTTTTAAAATTGGAATGATTATTATTTTGTTGTTTTAATAATGCTTTTATTTAACATTTTTAATATCTATATTATTGTTTTTTAAAGTTTGGATAAAATGTTTTTATGTTAATGATGTAAGCTGTTTTGGATCCTTTGATGGCAAAAGGCAGGGTAAAAATATTTTAAATAAATAAAATCAATTAATTAATCGTATCTCTGGTGTATTGCAAAACAGTTTTGCAACATGATCTCTGTTTGAAAGATTCTAGTGTAAGCTCAAGAAGCATAATGTAGGATCTTTCATATCCTGTCCTTCCTAAGAAAGCACATGGGCAGATTTCAACATGTAATTCAGGGGGTGTCCCCACAATTTTATGATGTAAGATTCTGACATAACATTTCTACAAAACTGTGCTTACAAAACCAGTTAAGAAAGTCATTGAGTAAGTGGAAAATACTACTTCAGAACTGATACTGTGTCGTCTTTTTTTCCCCCCAGCATGGATGAGAGTGAGGACATGCACAGTCTTCTGTTAACTGATCCTAGTACCTTGCTTGTTGGAGGACTAACCAATCATGTGATCGAAATAGACCTCAACACTGTGCAAGAGACCCAGAAGGTATAATGTAATCTATTAGGTATTCAGTCCTTATTTATAGTATTGGTGGTATTTTTGAGTTACCTGGCTTCATACAGAGATGAGTAGGAATATCCAGGGAGTGCATGAATGGTGGTTAATAAAATAACTGATTTGTCTTAATGAAGCAGACTGGGAATCTGGAACAAAAATTGCAAGAAAAGATCTTCTTCTGAATATATACTGAGTTTATCCTAGCAGGAGAAAGTTAATTCAGAATTACTGTTATTGTGTTGATATATTAGGCAGGCTCACTTCCCATTACTGTATAACCAAACCAAAGCAGCAGTATTCTGCCATCCTAGACAAATACCTTGGAAGTGAAAAACAAATTTTACCATTGTCAGGAAAAGACAATGTTGGCAACATGAATGTAGAGGCACTGTATTAAAAAAGCGTCCACAAAAGTGGACTACATGAATAAAAGAATGCCACCCCAGAAGGACATCTGGATGTGAAACTCTGAAACTTTTTTCTCACTCATAACTAACATATACCTACAAATCAGTGACACAGCCATGGGCACCAGCATGACCCCCCAATATGCCAGCCTCTTCATGGCAGATATAGAACAGTGCTTTCTCAGCTCTTGTTTACGGAAGCCTCTCCCCTATTTCAGGTTCATTGATGACATCCTCATTATTTGAACTCATGGTCAAGAGACACTAGTCAGGTTCCATCACGACTTTAGTAACTTCTACCCCAACACAAGTCTCTCAAGAGGGACCACTCTGAGGAACCAGTTAACCTCCCATTTGGCTACATAATTGATAGACGAACACCACTTTATACCAGAACCCCAGAGGCAATTAAATCTATCTGCTTCCAGCTATCACCCTGAACATATTAAAAAACCCATCATTTACAGTCAAGCACTACAATACCAAAGCATCTGCTCAGAACTGTTTGAAGGAGACTCCCTGCTAGAAGAGCTCAGACTCAAATACCCACCTGATATAGATACAAAACAGATCAACACAACCAAATGGATTCACAGAAGGGAGCTTTTCAAAGCAATCTACAGCCAGACTACAATAGGACGCCACTCGTGGTGAAATTCAGTACCCCGATGAATCCACATCCTCCCAGCCCATTTTTGACAGCGACAAGTCTCTGGTGCGCCTAGGCAGGCAATTCATGCTGGCATACACATAGCCAAACTAAATAAAATTGTAGCCAGACTGTCCCCTAGAGGCACTGATATAGGAACCAGACCTTGCAGCAAACCCAGGTGCCAGCTCTGTCCACATATTAACACAGGAAACGCCTTCGGAGACACAAGCAACATAATGCACAATACCAGGAGTTCGTACACTTGCTTATCCTTTAATGTGATTTATGTCATCTTTTGTCAGCAGTGCCACACTGCATTTTATATTGAACAAACGGACCAAAGTCTATGTAAGAGTAAATAGGCACAAAAAATGCTATCAGGACTCAGGAATAGAAACACTCCAAAATCGCTTCACTCTTCCTGGATGCTCTTTCTCTGATCTCAGAAATGCAGTCCATTTTACCTCTTCTGCCAACAGATCAGCAGTACCGCATCTTTCTAAATCTCACCAGCATAATCTGTGGGGTAGAATTGCCGTGAAAATCTCTGAAACACATTACCCTCTCATTTCTTTTAATTCTTCTGGAAAAAATCAAAACATTTATAAAAGTTTCCACGGGGCTGTGCCTTACATGTTATTCAGAAACATGTACCTTGCCTCTGTCCTGATCTTATTCCAGTTCTTTTATGTTTATTTTAGTACACAGTGGAAGTGCCTGGTGTCACTATCATGAGACAATCAAATCGTTTTTTCTTTTGCGGCCACACATCAGGAAAGGTAATGCTTACCTCTTTATTTCAGCCTCTTGATGTTTGAAAACTATAGCACTCCACTGACATCTGTTTCAAAAAAACCAAATTATTGCTATCTAAAGAACAAATCAAGATAAAAATGAATAAGACTTTTGGTAGCTGAAGTACCCCATGATCTCAGGGAATTTTGGATGTGGTGGATTTGTGTGTAGAGTATTAAAACATGCCTTTTTATGGCAGGAAATTAGAGATGGGAATCTGGCTGGAGAAGCCACAGATCAAGATAGAAATGGATAAGACTTTAGATAGCTGAAGTACCTCAAGCTCTCAGATCCCACCCGCCCCCAGCCAGATCCTCCACTCACCAGCCGCCATGCGCTGCTGTTCTCTTTCTCTTCAGGTGCTCAACCAGTCCCAGCAGGAATGTATGCTTCCCTTCTCTGCCTCCTCCGGCAGCTGCCCACACAGATGAGGAGGCACGTGCTCCTGCTGGTTTGTGCCCCTCTCTATAGGAGATCTAAAGATGTTTAAGGCATGTCTATATTCTTGACTATTGTGTGTTTGAGATTCCCTTACTCTTGCTCCAGATGGCGGCTTCTGAAAATAAAGATGTAAATCAAAACCTGATAATACTGGCTAGGTGTCCCGTTCTCACTATAAGTGCTGTGTGACTTAGGTTCTTGTCTTAGCTGCAAGACTGAAGGGCAAGAAGCAGATCTGTGTTCCAGGTTCCTAGAACTGAAGGGGAGGGAAACGATGCAGCTGAAGATTCAGCTAGAATTAGAAGCAGAATTAGGTCTTGCATCAGCAGGTAGACACCGGCTGCTTCAGTCTGACTTCAAAAGCTGACCATGCTGCCCTGAGTGTGGCCAGCTATAAAAATGGAGCATCTGAATGGGCCTGGAGACCATTCTTGATTTCTCCTCCTACATTGGGAAATAATGTTGACAGAGATGCACTACAGTATGGAGTCTGCTCTTCAGATCAGGTTCACTTTTCCTGGAGTCCCAAGGTGATCATGGAGAATTGGGGCTGGTATGTGATCTGTTGGAATATGCTTCTGTGGTCTTCTATCATGTGTGTCCTCCAAAACAGTGAACATCAGGTGATTATCAGGGTTTATTGCCTCCCTCAGTCCTCTTGTGTCCTGCAGACAGCAATAGAAGGTAGGGTTCTCTTTTGAGATTACATTTTGTCCTATGTCAAGGAATAGTGGAACATGGTTCTTGGGTAACTTGAAGTGTTCTCATATTCAGATAGATAGAAAGTAGATAAAGGCAGACTTCTTTGTCTTCATATGAGCAGATAAAGAAAGATGCCTCCCTTATCCCTTTGATCCCATTCAGTTTTTCATGTATTTTAGAGCTCTCATGGAATATCTTCTGTTTCTTCATTAGGTGTCCTTGCGTGACCTCCGTACTTTTGCTGTAGAGCATGAATTTGATGCCTACTCAGGTAGCCTATCAGATTTTGATGTCCATGGCAACCTGCTGGTGACCTGTGGCTTCTCCAGCCGGATGAATGGCCTTGCCTGTGATCGCTTCCTCAAAGTATATGACCTGCGCATGTTGCGAGCCATCACGCCTCTGCAGGTCCACATTGACCCTCTGTTTTTGAAATTTATTCCTACCTACACATCTCGTCTAGCCATCATCTCCCAGACAGGTAAGCAGCTGTTTTTTTTTCTGGCCTCCAATTCTTTTGCTGAACCTGTTAGAACCTCAAAATGGTGAAATGCTCAAAATCTAACCACCTTCAATAATAAAGACACATCAAGTAGTGGGTTATATTAAAGACCTGAAGAGAAATCATGTTCTGGTTGTATTGTCATCTTTTGTCATCCCTAGGTCAGTGTCAGTTCTGTGAACCCACTGGATTGGCCAATCCTGCAGACATCTTCCATGTGAATACAGTGGGCCAGCTGATCATGAGCTTTGATGTGTCCTCCAGCAAGCAAGCCATGGTATTTGGAGACTCGGAGGGCTGCGTCCACCTGTGGGCCGATTCACCTGAGATCACCTTTAACGCCTATTCCCGGGAGACTGATTTTGCCTTGCCCTGCATTGTGGATTCCTTGCCCCACCTCGACTGGAATCAGGATCTCATGCCATTATCTCTTATACCTGTGCCATTGACCACTGACTCATTGTTGTCAGACTGGCCAGCTGCCAACTCTGCCCCTGCACCCAGGTAGTTCTTTCGGGTAGGGGAGCTTGAGAAATAATAGCCCTTTTTAGGAGGGACAAAGTGGTGAAAAGGAATCTAATTTTTTAAAATGTTTTCTCTCCTTTATTCATCCCCACCTTTTTACCATTTTTACCATTTTAAGAGTATGATAGTGTCAATATTCAGAAATCAAAGCAGAGGATACTTAATGGTTATAGTATCTGGCATTATGTGCTACTGGAATCAGGCAGTATTGTCTCTGGAGAGATTAGAGCTGACTGTAGTGTTTTTCTAACAAATGCCCGTATCTCTCTAGCAGGCTTTGCATCTTGCTTGAGAAGCACAGTGTTGAAGAATATTGTCAGAGAAGACTTAAAAGCTGTGCCTGAATTACAGTTTGTTTTATAGGCGAGCCCCGCCTGTCGACCCTGAGATCCTCCGTGCCATGAAAAAAGTCGGCTTCATTGGATACGCTCCAAATCCTAGGACCAAACTCCGGAATCAGGTAGCTATCATGAAATATTGTGAAGCTATTGTGCTTGCTGAAGCTTTTAGAGCAGTGGTTCTTGGATGGTGGCCATGTGTATTGTTGTTTTACTTTACTGCCAAACATGGGAAATGTGGACAGGCGGGGCTTTGTTGCAGCGAGACCAGTCGGGTTCAGGAGGGTTCCTGAAACTGACTGAGACCACTTGGTTTTTACTCCCCTAAACTTGGGCGGGGTAAAAATCAAAGGCACATTAAAACTCAGCATAGCGGGGGTGGGGGGAGAAGGTGATGCACTAGAAGTGAACTTTTGAAGTAACAGAATCTGACTGACAAGGGAGGAGTGCCAGGGGATGCCTGGATCTTCTCTTTGAAGTCGCATCTGAATACAACAATCGAGTGGGAGCCATTGTGGCACAAAGCTGTCAATGCCCCTGGCAGAGAGTGGAAAAGTACAGAAGGATTTTGGAAAATAATCTTGACTAGAACTTGAAGTAAGTGGCTTGTTTTACATATGGAACTCTTAAGGACTTAAACAATGAAGACACTGGGTGCAATCTGTTAGAGAAAGTGACTAGATCTATATCTGGCCAGACCAACGAGCACTCCCCCCCCTCTTCATTTTGAGGCTTGACTCGGAGAAAGAGAAAGAGGGAGAGAAAATTACTTTGCTTGTGTTGTTGTAATAAGACTCGCTTTCGCAGGACAATGCAACCATAAACTACTGATGGATTTAAATCTGTGTGGCAGCCAGAAAGAATCTTGGGAAAATATTTGAAAAGGAAGAAAAGCCCTTTCCCCTGCCAACCCTTGCTAACTAGGAAGACTGGAGAGAGAGAATGAATTGTAAATGTTTTCTGCCCCAAGACACAAGCTACCATTGTGAGCATCTACTGTGTTTACCACCTGCTGGAAAGAAATCCAGATAATGCTTGCAAATAGATAGTAACTGCTTGAATCGTGGAACAAGACATTCTCAAGAATATTCAAAACATATTTAATGGATTACACCAAATAAAAGGAGAGATGGATCAGCTATTTGAACAAATTAGATGTAGGGAGACAAATGGAATCTACAGTGAAGACAGAGAAAAAAACAGAACTGCAACAGGAAATCATCTTATTAAAAACGCAAACAGAGGGAGACAATTTTATTCTTAGATTTCAGTGTCTTCAGAAGAAAAACGAGCAGGGGAGAGCTAATTTGTTAACCCCTCTTATGGAGATGTCAGCAGTAGAAATGCAGCAAATGGTGAACTTTACTATGGAAGGAAGGGGGAGGGGGATGATGGGACATATGCTGTGGCAGATGGGACAAAGAAGGAGAAAGTACATGTAATTGATGAAGCTCTTGGGAGTGGATTTAAGTAAATATAAATGGTCGATAAGATGGAAGATGAAGGATTGGTTAGAATATTGATGTAGAGCAGTGGATATAAATCTGGCAGAATAAGATAGATAAGGTGTTCTGCAGATGATCAAAAGATGGAAATGTTAAATTTAAGAGGGTATTTTGTGGTGAAAGAATATATGATAAAATGAATACAAACTAATGGTCATAACATTGATTTAAAGTAGTAGATATAAACTTTGCAGAATAATATAAAACCTAAACAATTAGTAAGTTTAAAGAGAAAGAGAAGGTCAAAGAAAATGGAAGATTATTAACTATAGATACCTTGGAAAATTGCCATATTGTTTTTTCTTCTTTGTCTCTTTTTAATATAATTGTATAGCTGGATGTAAGAATACTTTTCACTCTCTGGAATTTTACCCTTCCACCCCTCTTTCTACCTGGTCCTCCTAGTTGTACTTTAACCCCTATCTAACTAATATATAATAATAATAATAAAAAGGAAATGTGGACCTCCAGATGTTGTTGGCTGTGCAGGGTATTGCTGTTGGCAGTTGCAGCTAAGCAGCATCCAGAAGGAGAGCCTTTCCCCACTGTTCATGTAGAACATGACAAGAACCAGTTTTACCCTGGCCTTGGGAAATCATAAAATAAACAAGGGTATGATATCCAGATTCTTCATGGAGATTAGCATGCTCTTGCCTTTTTCAGATTCCGTATCGCCTGAAGGAGCTCGACAGTGAGTTTGACAATTTCAGCCAGGTTCCTGAATCACCCATTGGACGAGAGGAGGAGCCACATATCTACATGGTGCCAAAGAAGTACAGGAAGGTCTGTTTTTAAGCTCTTTTTTAAGAGTGTGAAAAATATTACTGAACAGAGAAAAATAAAAATATGGTATCTGAGGGGAAGATGGCACAGGTGTGTTTTGGAAAGCAGACACAGGGCACAAAAGCATGTTTCATGGAAGGCTGTGTTATTCGCACATGCACACGCAACTTTACAGATTTCGCACCTCATCTGCACACAAACCTGATCTGTGTTCTTGGATTTGATTGAATACTCTTCTCTTTGCTGTAACAAAGCTTGTTAGACCAGCTGGCTAGAAAATATGATGCGGGGAGTCTGCCACAAAGTACAGTCCAAGCAGGAAATACTACTTTTTTGCAAGCAGTGGAGAAATATAAGTGATTTGAATTAATAAATAAATATAAAATTTAAATGAGATTTCAAAAAATGTCAATAGGCTTTTTCATTTTTATTAAAGGCTTTCTGTGTGAAAAGAGCCCTGTTTGATGATAGTTGTAATGCAAAATGTTATATAGCTCAGAGTTTACATGATAAAATTTCAGATCTATATTACGAAATTCTGGTAAGTGAAGAAATCTCCATGGCCATTATCTGTTGCACACCAAGTCACATGACTCTGGAAGCAATAGGTAATGCCTGTGGGGGATTTCTTCACTTGCAATAATTTGCCACAGAACATTAAGCCTTTTGCACAACTGCCTGAAAGGATTCCAGCCAACGTGTTCATGTAATCTTTTTAACAACTTATGTGAGACTGGGGCCTTCGGTTTATGGGGTTCCTTAGACTTCTATTTATACCATTCAGGCTAATATTTTTTGAACCCCTCATACTCAGCCTGATCAGTAACCATAAGAAAAATTTGCAGTTCTCAAACTGGATTTGTGTCTCTGAAGATATATACTAGTTAATAGCAATATATGGAGATGTTAAATAGCACACCTGATCAGTTCTGTTTTCTAATTCTGACTGAAGGTATTTTCTTTTGTCAGCCTGATGGAATGTTGGAAATTCCTGAAAGATCTATTAAAATCTCCAGGATTGCTTCCAGTAGTTTCACTGAGTAATGCTCATTTCTTTAGAGTGGCAAACCTAGCTATTGTCCCTCTGCAACTCTGCGTAGACAAAGTTAAGCCCTTACCCTTCTCTATCTCTCTGTTTCTCTGAAAGTGCACCCTTCCAGACACTAGAAACCTCAATAGAGGATTACTGGAGATGCAGTTGAGATGGTCAAGGAGATCATGAAAAATATGTACCATGAACAACATGAGTTAATATTATAAAAAGCAAGAGTCTGCTTTTGGGGTGGGGTGGGGAATCACATGGCTAAATTGATTATTTCTGAATAGCCATTCAAATAATAATTTAAATAAAGAGTTAAAATAATAATACAGTGGAGCAAAGGAAGCCAATACATTTGGCATTTCTTACACTGGTTCAGGGCGAAGGGTCAGAAGAACATTACTGAAATATGGATTGTGGCCTTAGAATTTTTTCAGATCAGAATCTGAATCAAGTGTATTGAGGAATTCCTTCTGTGGAAGAGCAAAGCACCTTTGAATTGCTTCACTGCCACTGCCACTCACTTAATTCATGCTGATTTGCTAAGGGAAGACATATCCAAGTGTGTTTATTGCAGATATAGCATTGCCACTCACTTAACATTTTCTGGCTTGACTCACTTAGGTCACCATTAAATATTCCAAGCTGGGTCTAGAAGACTTTGACTTCAAACATTACAACAAGACTCTTTTTGCTGGCCTAGAGCCCCATATTCCAAATGCGTACTGCAACTGCATGATCCAGGTAAGCACTGTGTTGCTTTCTCTTTCTGACGCGCTTTAAGGTCTCCTTGTTCTTCTGCTAACCTTTGTGTTGTCTCCTTTTTCAGGTCCTTTACTTCTTAGAGCCAGTGCGCTGTTTGGTCCAGAACCATTTGTGCCAGAAGGAGTTCTGCCTGAGCTGCGAGCTGGGCTTCTTGTTCCATATGCTGGACTTGTCCAGAGGGGACCCTTGTCAGGTGAAGAGGAGCAGATGGGGTGTACTGTACAGAAGTTCCTATATCTCTGATAGGAAATTGCTTAGTGCAGAAAGGAGAACATAGGAAAAGCCTGTTGGGTTGAAACAGACATCTCGAATTGCAAAAATCGTTCTTGCCAGTGATGTGGTGACAAGAGGGCAGCAGGCTAGGCCATTGACTAGTCAGGTCTGTACATAGGCATAAATCAGTCTTGAGGGAGAGTTATGGGAAAGTGAAATATGCCTGTTCATCATACACTTCCGTACTCTCCTATGGTATAGCACAATTATATGTGATAAAAGGACAGTGTAGTATAATCAAAGATGGAATTTCCTGTCTAGTAGGCAATTTCTTATTGTGCTTCTGACAGGCATCAGAATCACAGGGCAGAACCTGTGATTGCCGCAATAAAAAGGGTGCTAATGTGGTCCTCTCCCATCCCAATTCAACTGTCTATCAACATAGCATCTTATAAAGAGGGATGAGTGGCAATAGTATGTAGGCTGGGCTGAGGTGGTTTTCTGCTTGGCTACTTCAGCTGGTTGCCCCAGACTTTAGAACAGGGTGCAATCTGTGGTCCCCAAGAGGCCACCCCCCAGTGAAACTTCCCAATTTTTAAATCCAGAACCAGTGATTTTTCTGCTGCCAGAGCACATATTTTGGGCCATTGAACCTTATGGTCTCATGCTGCTTTCCAGTCCACTGTCAGAAGTACATGGGTGGCTGCCATTCCCATAGGCACCATGTTATTCTTGCTGCAGTTTATCTGAATCAGTCCCTGCCTTCTTTGTGGGCCTCATTTCTATATTCATGACAGTGCTACTTGGGGGAAGGAGCTGCTACAGTCTTATATGTAAGAGGCCCACAGAGCAGCCTTGATTTCAGTATATCATGGTCTGGGTTAAGTTTGAGCCTCACTAGTATTTTTAACATGGCGCAATTGTGTATTCATTTTTTCCTGTCTTAGGGCAGTAACTTCCTGCGTGCCTTCCGCACCATTCCAGAGGCAGCTGCCTTGGGGCTGATTTTGGCCGATTCAGATGAAGCTACAGGGAAGGTGAATTTAGGCCGGTTGATTCAGAGCTGGAACCGGTTCATTTTGACCCAGCTTCATCAGGAAACTCAAGAACAGGAAGGCCCTCAGGCTTACCGGGGCATTGGCATCAGGTATCATTAAGACACCTCCATCCTTTCCTCCCTCTTCCAGATTGAGATTGGGATGGTACACCCCAGGAGGATGAGACTGCAGAGTTAATGGTGGCTGCTGCCTCCTGGAACTTTGAGGAATCTGCCTGCCTGTTCTGCTGGTTGCCTTTGGTCTAAATTACCATTAAAGTTTAGGTTCCAGAACACTAATTCCTGAACTGTACCAGTTTGTTCTGGTTTGATCTCAGCAACAAACCTCTTTTCCCCCCCCCTGATGTCACCATTGTACTGTTTCCCACTTGAGAATAGAAGTAGTTGTTCTCCTTTTTTCCTCACTTTTTCCTCCCAGATCAGCATCCTTCTGAGCTATGGTAGAGCATGCTGTGACCACCAATTGCAGAAAGAGGACACTCTGTCCCCATGCAGAGAACATATCTGCTGAATATTCAGAAAAAAATGAGTAGTGTCAGCTTGCTGAAATTCTGAATTTGAACTACAGGCAGACAGGAAACTTGAATCAGACAGGTCCTACAAAGAAGCACAGTCATCTTCCCTTTTAAACTGTGTTTTCTGCTTGAAAAACAACTTCAGGCTGATTACATTTAATAGCTGTTTTCTGTAGCGCAAGGGCACTTCAGCGTTGTCTTCCTGAATGTCAGATCAGTGACTCTGCTGATCTAGTTCTTCTTTTCTTTCTAGTAACTTTGGCTCTTCTGGGGACTCGGTCATCGGGCAGCTTTTCAGCTGCGAAGTGGAAAACTGCAGCATGTGTCGCTGTGGCAAAGAGACTGTCCGAGTGTCTTCTACACTTCTCTTTACTCTCTCCTACCCGGAGAGTAATGGTATGAAGTTCAGCTATCAAAATCAGGATCAAAGGAAATGTAGAGAAAAGTTTGCCTTAGTGGAACTAATAAGATCTATCCTTGAATACCTTGTGTACCTTGGAAACTGTACTAGGGTTTACAATAAGTCAGAATCAACTTGCCAGGGCATCGTGCAGCACGCAGAATTCAAAAACTAACTGTAGGATGACTGAAGAAATCTTGGGCCTTCAGCCTGGTGCCTTCTCTTGGGGATCTTAAAGCCTTCCTGGCTCTTGCTGGAGATTAGGGCAAGTTCTCTGCTGAATGGCGTGTTTTGCCGTAGCTTCGAGTGACAGCCAAAATGTTTATTGCTTGGCTGGCCTGTGTTCATTGTGCTAGAACTGTAAAATTCCTCAGTGTGTCACAGCCACAGTCATGCTCAGTGCAGAGTTATTTCTTGGTACCATTAGCCCCCCATCAGCAGACAATTATCTCTAAATACTGAGAAATTTCTTCCCTCTCCTCTGGTTGATTAGGTTTGACTATCTGGTTTGATCTTCAGAGCTGCTCAGGGTTTCTTCCCTTTTTCTAGATAAAATCAAGGACTGTGAATTTGCTCAGATCTTAAAAAGAAGCATCTGTCTGGAACAGAACACTCAGGCCTGGTGTGAGAACTGTGAGAAATACCAGCCCACGGTAAGCAGGAAGTACCTCAGGCTGTGTTGTGGATAGAGAGGAAATCCCTGTGCATGGCTCAAAGATTTAAAAAATAGTCAGGACTGGCCTGAGAAAGCCAGGTAGCCAGCCCGAGATCTGGCACCAACACCTAGCTTTTCTGCTGGTGAAGTTTGTAAGGAGTTAATCTCATCCTTAGGAGGCTTCTTTCCTTTTAATGTTATGGATGGGACCAGGCAATGTAAGTATGAAATGCTCATCTTTTCCCCCCACTCATTCTAGCCTCTGGTATCAATTTCTCTGAAACATTTGGTGCTGATACCTGCCAGAAAAAAAAGAGATGAGTAGAATGGCCACTTATCTGACTGGCCAGTATAAATTTCTAGGGGACAGACAATCAGAGGCGCTAGAGTAGTATCCATTATACTATCTTTGCCCCTTGGCCCTCTGTCACATATTTTTCTCTTTTTGTGGTTTAAGGTCCAGACTCGCAATATCCGCTGCCTGCCTGATGTTTTGGTCATTAACTGTGAAGTGAACAGCTGTAAGGAGGCAGAATTCTGGAAGATGCAAGCAGAGGTATTGGAGAATATACCTTTCCCCGCTCAGTTTGCAGTTTAGATCTTTCGAGGCACCCTTGGGCTGGGTCATAAAGTGCTTCTCCTGAATATTCACCTGTGCCCTCTGTGCGTGCTTGCCCACTCAGGATGCCTGTTTCATCTCTGATGGCATTGGCCCTGGTTGTGACCTACATGCAGACTACCCAACAAATGTTAGCTAGTTTCTAGGATAAAACATGGAGCACTGACTATATCAGCTCAGCCTGTGTGTCTTTCTGTATTATCTTCGTAAGCCCCATTCAGTATATCTGCGTAGATCAAAGGATGGGTGGATGTGGAAGGTGGAGGGAGAGAGAAAGTGCGCTCCTACGGAGCGTTATGCAGGCAATTGGAAAAAAAGTAACATCCTGCCTGCCCCCTTTTTGATGAGCAAGAGGAAACAATCAGGATTTGGTGCTAAATGAAGTCACTAAATATGTAAATATTTAGACCTTTTATTTTTGGCTTATCCTTTATTAACAGTATGCCTTTAAGAAGCTGATGATGAAGAAAGGATGTCTGGAACTGCCTAAGAGTAGAGAAATATCTCTTGGGGAATGGTAAGCATATACACCCAGGAGTGGTTTCTATAGCTGCCTAACGGTTTGTTCTTCTAAGCCAGGGGAGGGTCTGTGATTTACAGGCAGCATCCTGGGACATTTTTTTGCTGTCCCCAAAGCCACCATAAAACTTTGCATGAAAAAAGAAACAAAGTGATTAAAAAAAATCCCTGTGTCTGCTCCTGGATGTGGTTTTTTTCATAGGGACTGAAGAAGAGGAGCCCCCCTCTCTTAAAAAAAAAAAACAACAACAATCTGGAAAAGTACTACTTTTGTACATTTTTAAAAAATGGTCCAACTTGGCCATTTCCGGGCTCAGGTTGGAAACTAGGAAGTTGCTGAAAAGATTTGAACTGCTTTGTGGCTGGGAATTTTTGGAGCTATGGTTAAAAAAAAATCAACTCTTCACTTGCAGTGCAATTGATTGTTTTCACTTTGCTTTCAGGAATGAATTAGGAGTGGCAGAGGGGGGACACAATTATACCTCAATTGAAGAACTGAAGAACGTCTGGATTCCTTATTCCATCAAGATGAAGCTCTCCAAAAACAAATTGCTGGAGGTTTACAACTGGGATGAAAATGCTGAAGTAAAGCATCCTTTGGTCACAATAAACTGAAGTCAGAGTGCTTCACTTGAAAATACTTTTGTAATATTTTAGACTTGGGGGCATTTAACCCAGTTCTACTCACTTTCAGGAACCAATCAGCTATGACTGAATAATTTCTGAAATAAATTCAGTATCCGAACAACTGATATATTTTCAGTGGCCATGACAGCGATAATAAATTATTATATGAAATAAATGCATGTCTAGGAATCACAGTTGGGCTGAAACTCTTATGGGGGCATATTTAGACTGTGTTCTTGTAACACAAGAGTAGCTTTTGCAGTGCAGAGGTTATGTTTCACCTGATTTTAAATAAAAGGATAAATCTATTGGATGATCTGGGCTTGGTAACAGCAGACAAATAGGTTGTGGCCTTTCCTGATGTTGAGAGTTCTGTTGCAAAGGGATTGGAATTATTGTTGTGGATATGATAAGAGGAAAGGGGGGCCAACTTGTGGTAGCAAAATGGAACAGTGACACATATCCATAGAGTCATAAAGAGCTAAAACATTTTTCCTTTGTCTCACCTGGATGACAACTAGCAGACTAGAAGCAGACTCAGCCAGGCTGGTCTATATTCCAGGAATTCTCAGAATAATAGCCAACTATATTTAACTGCCCTGCCTTTCTGTCTGTGCCTTGCATATACATTTGCACAGTGCTAGAGCTGCTCAGAAACTGAGCCCCTTGATAGAATTGATCTTCTTTGTTTGCAGCTGAGTGTGTTGGATGATCAGGAGTCAACATATGTTTATGACCTCATGGCAACTGTTGTGCACATTTTGGACTCTCGGACTGGGGGCAGCCTTGTGGGGCACATCAAAGTAGGGGAGACCTACCACCAAAGGAAAGAGGTGAGCCTTTTGAAAGAGAATACATCTTTACAAACTTTTCATCTGTTGGCCTGTGGTGTATAAGCCTTAGGCGAATGCTGTTCTGCCAAGGTGTTCTGTTGCCATTTGCACTGGGACTCTTGTGGCTGGAAATAATCTTAACTGTCTGACTTATTGTCTATAAGTAAAAACTGACTCTGTTAACACACACACATCTCTTTTTGTTCCATTTATCCAGGGTGTCACGCACCAGCAGTGGTACCTTTTCAATGACTTTCTCATTGAGCCTGTGGATAAGGTAAGGAGACCTGAGTAATTCATATTCTACATTCTTGACCTTCTATATATAAGAAGTATCTATCAGAGATCAAGTCCTGTACTAGATTGCACATTAGAAAAAAACATTGATACAGTAGGACCCCCATACCTGCAGGATCAGTATCCACTGTTTCACTTATCAGTTGCATGAAATTATTAAATAAAAAATCCCAGGAATACATATTTTCAAGTTGTATTACAAGAACTGCCCACTATAGGGAACCAGAGACTATGTGATACATACAGTGCTGCCTCGCTTAACAACGATAATCCGTTCCAGGAAAATCGCCGTTAAGTGAAAACATCGTAAAGCGAAAATAAAAACCCCATTGAAACGCATTGAAACCCATTCAGTGCATTCCAATGGGGTAAAAACTCACAGTCCAGCAAAGATCTTCCATACGGCGGCCACTTTCACTGCCTGTATAGCGAGGAATCTGTCCCTAAACACAACGGGGAGCCATTTTAATCACCTGGTGGCCATTTTGAAACCGCCAATCAGCTCTTCACAAAACGTTGTTTTGCGAAGAATCGGTTCCCGAAGCAGGGAACCGATCATTGCAAAGCGAAATTCCCCCATTCAGACCATCATTTTTGCGATCACAATTGCGATCGCAAAAAGATCGTCGTTAAGTGGATTCGTCATAATGCGGGGCAGTCAAGCGAGGCACCACTGTATAAGGTTTCCAGCATCTGTGGTAGGTCTTGGAATATATCCACTGTGGATATGGTGGCCCTCCTATGTATAGTAGGGTAACATCAGCAAATTAAGCATTTCTTTTTCATCCTGGGTAGGGGAATAAAAATTGCATGCCCTTGGAATCAGCGTTCAATCAGAAAGGGGAAGAAGCAGGTATCGATATCAGCCTTGTTAGAGAGACATGTAAAACAAAAGTGAGACAAGGAAACTAGATGTCAAGAAGTGTCATCAGGCTGGCAAGGGCTGAGTGCCAAGCTGTTACTCAGGCCCTGACTTACTAGCCATGAGGCTCTTGCACAGGAGTATTTGGGAATCAGTAGTCTGGCCTAGTTAGTGGCTCCCCTTCTAGCTAACCTGCCACCTATAGGCAGGACCTAAGCACTATCTCTTAAGTACAGGTTGGCTGCCATCTGCACTAAGACAGCATTGCCCAGACTCTAATAGAACTCCATGCTTTACCATCCTGGTTGCCTGCACTCATGTTGAGGAACATCTGGGGGAACAGAGAATGGCACCATTATGGTTCTGGTTTCTCTGCTTCTGCTGAGGAAAGATCCCTGCAGAAGCACGCACAGCTGAAATACTTGTTGCGCTCCCATTTTCACGTTTCTTCCTTCTGGATCTACAGTGTGAGGCTGTCCAATTTGACATGAGCTGGAAGGTGCCTGCGATCCTTTATTATGTGCGAAGGAACCTCCATTCTAAATACAATTTAACCAGTGAGTAATACATGTGTGCATTTGATTATCTGGATGGGGCTCAAACAGTTATTTGGCTCTCAAGGATCAGTTTCAGCCATGCTGTGCCATGGGTTTAGCCTTCTGCCCTTAAAGCTAAGGAATCCATCGATGATAGGTTTAGAAATCATCGGGTAGAATTGCTTAGTTTTCTCATGCATATTCTTTGTGTGCTGCTTTGCTCCTGCTACTTGGCTTTTTCCATTGTTTCTGATCTGAAACCTCCTTTATTTGCCAAGTCTTGATAGCTGACAAGTGATAGCCAGTAAAGAAATTACAGTAAGGCATCCTTCAGAAGAGTGTATCCTTACCAGGAGTTGCCCCACCCTACTTCACAAAAGAGGTGTGAGGATAAACAGTTGTTGGGCAGTGGTTATATGCTACAAAAACTAAAAGGACAAAATGAGTGAGTGCATTTTGTGAAGAGGTATGCTGCAGTCAAGGGGAAGTGAAACATCATTGTGGTACAAGGAGAAGGACCTATAGGGCAGCATTGATGCAGGGGGAGGGGGGTGGCAGAAACCGTGGCTTTCAGGTGAAACTCTTTGCCAGTACCAGGCAAGATGAGTTTGCACTTTGGAGCTGGAAATCTTTCCTCTGAGGTCTTCTCCTTTAGGAGTATTCCCAGTCAATGTTGGGTCTGCCTGTTTTCTTTAGACTATCAAATTAAAGGTGTCTTTGAACTAAGAGAATCTGCTGATCAAAACCTTGTTCTCCCTTAAGTCAAGAACCCGATTGAAGCCAGCGTGCTGCTTGCAGAGGCCTCCTTGGCCCGGAAACAACGCAAATGTCATGCCACTTTCATCCCGCTCATGCTGAATGAGATGCCACAGGCCGGAGACCTGGTGGGACTGGATGCTGAGTTTGTCACTCTCAATGAGGTGGGCGTTGTGCTGAATGAGAGGACAGAAGGGAGGGTGGGAAGGCTTCTAACCTGGACTGTCTTGCATAAGGCCTGTGTGATCATAGAAAACATCTCTTCCCCCTTTAAAAACCTGCAACAGGAGGAGGCTGAGCTTCGCAGTGATGGGACCAAGTCTACCATCAAGCCCAGCCAGATGTCAGTGGCCAGGATCACATGTGTAAGAGGGCAAGGTCCGAACGAGGGTGTTCCTTTCATCGATGATTACATTTCTACACAAGAACAGGTATGCAGCTATTTCAGGAGATATGTGTTGGAAGTTATGTTGCACCCCCACCCCGAAAGCTTTATACAGTTGGTCTGCAGTTGTTTGCATGAACTGTTTGGAAGTGTTTTTCCTTTCACCTGAAGGCAGCTTTGCTGTGAAATCCTTTGTCCCTTTCAAGAGTGAGGAACCTGTGGCACGTTGGATATTGTAAAACCCCAGCCCTTGTCAACCCCTGCTGGCATGGCTAGTAGTCAGAGATGATGGCAGCTGTAGTCCAAGAACCCCTGAAGAGCCACAGGTTCCCTACCTCCCCCCCCTGCCTTGGCTGGCTAAGGATGGCTAACAGAAGGACCCATTCTCTTCATTCTGTAGACCTCTCATTGACTGGAAATAGTGGAGTGTGGGGGATGCTCGCTGGAGAACAAAAAGATTCAAGAAGGAAGTACAATTCAGAGAACCAGTAGTAACTGGTAGCTCATGTAAATGTCTTCTTCCAGTTCCAAAAGGCTCAGAATGACTTGCCATATATGCTTGCTCCATAAAAATCATTGTCAAGGAGTGTTAAGTTAGTTATTTATATATAAGGCATGTTTAGCCTTGAGAAAAGAAGATTGAGGGGTGATATGATAGCACTTTTCAAATATTTGAAAGGCTGTTGTACAGAGGAGGGGCAAAATCTGCTCTCGATCATCCCAGAGTGCAAGACATGCAACAATGGGCTCAAGTTAAAGGAAGCCAGATTTCAGTTGAATATCAGGAAAAACTTCCTAACTGTTAGAGCAGTACGACAGTGGAACCAGTTACCTCGGGAGTTGGTGAGTGCTCCAACACTGGTGGCATTCAAGAAAAACTTAGATAATCACCTGGAAGATATGCTTTGATTGCATTCCTGCATTGAGCAAGGGATTGGACATGATGGCTTTGTAGGCCCCTTCCAGCTTCACACTTCTATGATTCTATGATTTAAGGTGACAAAGTGATCTCTTTGGTTGAGCAAGAACCTAAATCTGCAGGAACTCTGTTTAGTGAAAAGGGGCTATCCCAAGACAAATCCCTCCTTCTACACTCTTGTGCAAGCAGGACATCCAGAGGCATTCTCCTCCCTCCGTCCTTCCCTGGGAGGCCTCCCCTTCAGTTTATGGCCTTCTTCCACTGACTGAGCAGGCTGCCTCATGCCCACCCACCTTCACAAAATTCTCCCCATCTTCCCGGGTTGTCCTCATTGCTTTTCCCCCACCTTTCCTTTCAAGGGTGCCTTCCTTACTGTGAGAAGAAAGAACCTTCACCTAAAATTTGGTGTTGTTTTCCTCCACTGTTCAGTGACCCTAACTTTCCTTGCTCCTGTAGGTGGTGGATTATCTCACACAGTACTCAGGAATAAAGCCAGGGGATCTTGATGCCAAAATTTCTTCCAAACACCTCACCACTCTCAAATCCACCTACCTGAAGCTACGCTTCCTCATCGATGTCGGGGTCAGGTTTGTGGGCCATGGACTGCAAAAAGACTTCCGGGTCATCAATATCATGGTGACTGCCACTTTTTTAAAAGTCCTGATGTGGATCTTTCCCACAGGTGGCTTGTTTGTGTGGAAGGTAGAAATGAGCCTGCGCACATGTGCTCTTCTTCCTGCCAGTGCAGAACTTGGGAAAATAATGATGGGGGCTATGAATGAGAATTCAGTACACATGGGAAGCAAAAGACTCTTAAGACAGGACAGCTTATCATCCTCTGGATAATGTTAAACTTCAGTCTTCATTATCCTTTGCCATTGGGTTTGGTAGTTAAGCTAGATGAGAGTGATAATCCAGTAGTACCAACCAGTATTCCAGGATATTGCGGTTAGATTTGCAAAAGTTTATATTCTTGGACATGAAGAGCCAGAACAGTCTGTATGAACAGTAAGATTGTGTTGTAGGGTGTAGAGAAAATTATTCATGAACAGTATGATTTGTTCTGGTACTAAAGCTGTCTTTTGCATTCACATTATATTTTTATTTTATTTCCATGATCTTTCCAGCTTGTTGGCATGATTAATTCTCCTGGCCTTGCCTCAAAATAAGTGTGCTTTTTACAACATGTATGCTACCTGTTTACTAATTTATTTATTTCATGTATTTATATCCTCCTGTTTAAAGATAGCCCCTTACATGGTGATTTACTAATTCCTTTTTATGTTTATTTGGTGTTTGAAATGTATGGGTTCCTGCTTCAAAAGCAGCAGTGAGGCATCTGTATTGTCTCTGCAGGCTGGATTGCCAGATCCCATTGGTCCCAGCCAGTGATGAGGAATAATAGTAGTTGTACTCTACAATATCTGGTGGAGGACCACATGTTCCCCCATCCTTGCTCCAAGGGCTTAGAATGCAAAGGAATGAAGGTAGGAATGGAATAGGAATAGGAATGAAATGAAGGCACAAGCTGGCCATGTGTTTCTAACTTTATCAGCTGTTCATGCAGCAAAAAAAAGCTAGGCCTATGGTTTTCAAATTATGGTAGCTTGTTAGGGTCTTCTCAGTGGAAAGGCCAGTGGTGGTGGTGGACAAGCTTTCTGAACAAGTCAGCTTTACCCAGCACCACATCTGTGCTTTCTCTGCAGCCACATGGGAGCACTAAGCTTGCACCTTCGGTTCACATCAGCCCATGGGTGAAGGCCAATCTCTTTGGCCAGTGCCCTTTGTGAACTGGTTACATGTCCTAGATAGAATGTGCCACAGTTCCTTCTAATCCAAACTGATTAGTTAAGGACCTGTAGAGTCCTCAGGACCACGTGCCACACCTCATTGTTGATCCATGTCTTTCTCCACAGGTTCCCAGGGACCAAGTAATTGACACTGTGTACCTGTTCCACATGCCCAGGAAGAGGATGATCTCACTGCGCTTCCTTGCCTGGTATTTTTTGGGTCAGTAAAAGACATTCTGAGGTTAAAGCTGAGCAGAATTTGTCTCTTAGTCAGTCTTACTTCCCCTTATAAAGGGAATGAAACATTAACTGGAGAGCATCAGCAGAGCTGCAAAGAGGGAGGATCCCAGGACTAGATGGATTTGTCTTGAGTGGGCTGAGAGAGTGAAGAGGGGAAATTCTGTGCCCCAAACAGTAGTCATTTGCATCAGGGCAGAGGACTTTAGCCAAGGGCATTGTTTACCATGTGCCACATCTCTTTCGGTTTCTCAAAGATCTGAAGATCCAAGGGGAGACTCATGACAGCATTGAGGATGCACGCACGGCTCTCCAGCTGTACCGGAAGTACATGGAGCTGAGCAGTGGCGGGTTGGAGCCCGACGAATTCCGCAAGGTGCTGAAGGGTCTGTACGAGAAGGGGAGGAAGATGGACTGGAAGGTGCCTGAGCCTGATGGCCAGAGCAGCCCCAAGAGTAAGCCAACGCCCCCTCCCATTTTTCTGTCTGTGCAGGCTTTCCCTTATGGGTCTATGTTCATAGCCCTCTGTCCTCATGCTCACTCTTGTGTGTGTGCAGTTTTGGCTGTCTGTGGTGAAATCGGTCTTTGCATTTCTAAGCTGGTGGTATACGTTCACAGAGTGGATGAGCTGGTATGTTTGTATGTCCCACAGCTCTGTATGCGCAGTTCCTTGTCCTTTCATATTCTGGAACAACCAATAAGCTGAATTTGGTTAAAATTTTGATTCCAAACATCTCCTATGGGGACTGATTTCACTACTGCAAGGATGCTGAACATAGTAGCATCTCTAAAAAATTTGCCAGTCTAAGTCATACAGGATGTGGATATGGAGCCCTCAAGCATCTGGCCTTTCTTTCATTAAACCCAACTGGCTTTGGTGGTATGATCTGTCCAGATTCTGTTGTATTGTTCCATTGTATGAGGCTGAAACGGGAATTATTTCTGCCAGTAACTGGCCTCCTATCTTGAATGGGGCTTGCTGGAGTTGGTCTTCCCATGGTTCACGGTACTGTTTTCACTTCTCTGACAGGTGCTGCCGTGTTCTCAAATGTGTTGTCTCTCTAACCTGAGACTGCTTCACCTCAATGTCTCTTCAACAGAGGAATATGAAAAAAATTACTTCCCTGAGTTCTGGGTATCATGGAACATGGATTATTCACGCATATATTTCAGAGGCCAAGAGACTGCTGGGCTGCTTCTGTGCCCCGTTTCTGGAGAAACTTCAGGGATCCAAAACCAAATCCTAAGAAATGACTCACTAGGGATGGAGGCTATGAAGCAGTGTGTATTGTGAACCACATGGGGGTGCAACAGCTCTCTGAATTTTGGATGCTGAACATGTATGCTGCACAGAAGAAAGATTTACGCATCGCATCCTGCCGTGGACGCTCAGTGGCCAGCTGTTTTGGCCTGTATTTTATACAAAGGGGGTGTTTGTGTGAAGTAGATCTGTGCGTGGTCCAGGAATCCTCTCTTTCTGTCAGTCTGTGTCGTACGAGCCTGAGGAAGGTTACCTGTTTTATTTTGCGACTGGGAGTTTCTCCTGAAAAAAAAATAGAGCTGGACTCTACTGCCATGGAAGCTTCATGGCTTTTAACTCTTCTGTTTTCTGTATATGAGTTGTGGTCAAGGAATCTCTGAAATGCAATCAATCTGTGCAAACATAATCTTTTCCAGTCTTCTCTCTTCTTCTCTTGGTGTCCTATGTTACTGTTTTTTCCCTTCCTTGAAAAATCATCCTTGGTCCCCTCTAAATGTAAGCAGCATGTTTATATTCTGTTCATTCCTACATAGACTGAGGCTTTAGCTTATCTCCATTTCTTACCTCATCTGGCTGGCTGGCTGGCTGGCAGGTTGTGACGCCAGAACTTGCAAGACTTCCAGGTCTGGAGAATTAGGCAGTCCATGTTTCTGTGTGTGGAATATTTAGATGTTGCAGCAGAAATGAGGAGACTGAGAACTGTTTTTAGGCCTGCTGTAGGATAGGGAAAAGGTGTTAAGACAGTAATATGAAGAGGAATTTAGTGGTCAAACAGTAGAAGGCAACTAAAGCTACTAAAGCTGGATACAGCATTATATCACCTAAATCTTGCTTTTCTGTATGGACTGCTCTGGAGCCAGCCACCATTTGAGATGCAAGGCTGGTACAGAGGGTAGGGGTCATAAGCAATTACATGGTAAAAACAGATGCTAGTAGCCTGTTAAGCAGAAAATCCTGCTAAGTGGGGTCGTGCTGCTTATGCAATTTTTTTTCCATGAGCAGAGGCAGGTTTTCTTTATGGTGATCACCATTTGGGCAAGCTGTGTGACCCCTCATGACTACACCTACTTGATTCTCCACTAAGTGGAGGCTCAGTAAAATATTGGGCAAAGATGTAGAACCATTGCGTTAAATTGGGGGTCTCCTAGTTTCAAAACCCCACCTAGCCATAATGTTCACTGGGTAATCCTTGGCCACCTGTATTCTCCCATTGTGATCAACTGCATTGTTACAAATATTCTTATAGCGAGGCTGGTATAAATCTCTAATATGTAAATGCTGGATTCCAAAAGATCTCCTGTATGGAGAATTAGTGCAGGGAAATCGCCCCAGAGGGAGACCACAGCTGCGATACAAGGAGATCTGCAAGCGGGATCTGACAGCCTTAGGAATGGACCTCAACAGATGGGAAAACTTGACGTCTGAGCGTTCAGCCTGGAGGCAGGCGGTGCAGCATGGCCTCTCCTAATTTGAAGAGACCCTTGTCCAGCAGGCCGAGGCCAAGAGGCAGTCACGAAAGGAGCAAAATCAGGGAGCAGGACAGGGGACAGATTAGATTTGTCTTCAGTGTGGAAGGGACTGTCACTCTCGAATTGGCCTCAGCCACACTAGACGCTGTTCCAAGTCCTCCATATAGGTCATGTTACCATAGTCTCTTGAGACTGAAGGATGCCTAATCAATATTGTGCTGGGGAAGTGATGGATTAATTACTGGAGGATTCAGCCTATATCCATACATTCTAAATATATATCTTCTTATACTTATATTCTAACACATAGTAAGCAGACATGTTAGGGTATACTTATATTCTGGACTGAGCTGCTTAAGGCGGTAGTTGAAGATGCAAGACTTAGACTGTTTTAGGAGGAGATCAGCTACCATCCTGAATGTGTCTTCTGTGTCATCCTGGGAGCTACAGCCTCAAGAAGCAACTTTCTCAGACTCTGCACCAAACTTTGGGTTTCTGTATGACAGTTAAATCACTCCAGCATTGTATCATCCTAAACTGTGAACGTACCTTCTGGGTTCCTGCCTGGATTCCCCCCCTCCCGTTCTTCCTTCCATCCACTTTAATTGGCAGTGCTCCCTGCCAAGCCATTGGGAGGATTTGAATTTTTAAAGGTTTTTTTTTTTGCCCCTGCTGTGGGAGCCCAGATTGCGCCTGTCATCTTGATTGATCCCCTCCTTCCTTAGCTTTGGTCAGTATCCCAATGGCTGGCAGGCAGGTGGTGGTGGGAGGGAGAGCAGAGGCACGTCGACAAGAAGCTTTTATTGCTCCAGGGAGGCTGGAGGATCACTTCTTGGATCAGAAGGACCTGAGGAGTCCTCAGGGAATGAAGGTAGAGACTCTTCTGCATAACCTGCCTCCAGGAAACCCTCAGCATGATCGCTGCCCATCAGAACATGAGCACTGGTCTGGTGAGTCTTTCATCCACAGCCTCAATTACTACTGCTGCTTTTCCAGAATGGGAAGGCAGTTTGGAGGGAGAAATGGGAGCCCAAGTTAATTTGGTCAGACTGGATCTTGAGTGAAACTTCACGGAGGCAGTTTATGCCAGTTTACCTCCTACAGAATGTTTTTGCTTTTGTTCATAAGCTAGATCTAACATAAACATAAATATATGATTCTGGAAGGCATAGGCTAGTATAGCAGAGTGTAGCAAGCATAACCAAGCACTGGCTATGTATGGATTCTTGTGCTTCTGTTTTTTCTGAGGATGAAGCTTGAAATTGTGTGTCGGGTACAGTAGAATTTTTATTTCATGATATTTTGTTTGGGCCAAGACTCTTTCAGGTGAAATCCCCATTCATGCAATCACTTTTAAAATTAATCTTACTTCTGAACTAGGCATCTTTTGCTTAGAAATAGGTTGCTATCCATTATTGTGTGTTTGTGTTGGAGAAAAAGGAATATCAGATAAAAAGAAAAAAATAGTGTTGTTTTTAAACATACATTTCTTTATTCTGTAAAAAAGTCCTTTGAACATTTGTCCCAACTATGTCTGCATGATTTAATCTTTTGATTCAAAGTGTTCAAAACTGAGGGGAGGATAGGAAGCTGCATTGCTAAAGCTGGGTGAGATGTCCCCTTGCAAATTGTTAATATTTTCTTTTGCTTATGAGTCCAGATATTCCATTTATGATGAGATATTTGGGACATCAACAAAACAGACACGTTTAATACTACAAGGTCTGAATTATTGAGTGGGAATTATTTTATCTATTAGTTTCTGCTGAATGAAGTTTGGGATGTCCTAGCTAAATATTTTTAGCACTTCCAGAGTAGTTCAGAGCTAATGTATCCATTATATGGACAAAACTAATATGGTAAAATTTTAGACTGTACCAATTCGAAACTACAGAGTCTCTATGTATGTGATATTCATTGCCCAGGGGTTTCAGTATCTGGCTGCAAAGCCAGAGGTTGGGAGTTCAGTTCCCCACTGTGCCTTTTTAATAGGGGCTGTACTCCGTGATCAATAGGGTCCCTTTCAGCTCTGCAGTTCTAAGATTATTATTATCTCTCCTCGTATTAAAACAAACAAAAGTTCTCTTGAGGTATCAGACCAGAGTATCAGAGAGATGCTTGTGTATTGATTTTCTATTATAATGGGATTAGTGTTAAAATAAGTGTTGCATTCAGGGCTCCAGACAACCATGGTTTCTTCCATTATACCTGCATTCTTCAACAGCTTCCTGGTGATGAATGGGAAAGGCTTGGGGTGGGTGGGGATAGTAGGCTGATGCTGAGGCCGCTTCTTCAGCAGGATTGGGAAGTGTTTTTATTTATTTATTTATTTATTTATTTATTTATTTATTTATTTATTTATTTATTTATTCTGGTGGTTGCTTTTTCAACAATTCTGTCAGCAAATAGCAATCATTCATCACTTCTTTCTGGTCTCTGCAATGAGTCTGGATAGGGAAAAAAAATCATCACTGAATCCCTTTCCTTCACATTTTCTCCCACAAGTGATCTTACTTTTGTTGATTTCTGAAAAAGAGGCAAAGAAAGAAGGCAATACCTCTTTTCCACCCATTCCCTTCATCATCTTTACAGTATTTTATTTTATTTTTCAGAAGTGACATGCTACATATCTAATACAGTGGATAAACTTAACAGGAATCCAAAAAATATACAGTCAGCCAGAGACACCCCTGCTATTTCCCCTTTGCATTAGAATAGATGACCACTCACACACAAGAAAATGGAGAAAAGTGATTCCATTACAATAATAAAATACCCTCTGCTGGCTGAACAAAAATATATGATTCCCCATGGAAAAAGACTAGGTTTCCTGTACTTAGCTTTACATCCTCCAGTTGCTGGTAAAAACTTCAAATTTAACTGTGGCAACTCTGACACAAACTGTAGGATAAAAGTTACACGCAATCTGCAGTCTTATACAATAGGATCTTCTTATCTGTGAGATCTGTGTCTGCTGATACACTTATCCACAGTAGAAAATATAAAAAACATTAAAAGAAAAATTCCAAAAATATATATTTCTAATTATTAAGTTACCAGAGCTGGCGTCTAGCGGGAGCCAAAGACCATACTATGTATAGCGTTCACTAGATAAATATATTTCTACAATGTCAACAAACTGGTTGCTGGGTGAAGTCACATGTGCTACAGTATATATAGCATTTGTTATAAGATTGTTTGCTATAATCTGTGTTTTTCAGCATGGGGGTGGTGGTGCTTGGAACCAATCCCCCTGTATCTGCGGGGGCCCTACTGTATTCACTTCCCAGAGATAAGTCTTGTTAAATTCATTTGGGCGTACATCTAAGTAGACATGATTGTCCTGTTCACTCTGAGAATGCAGTGATATCTGGGGTGGTCATGACAAAGGTGAATTTTAGCAGTCAAAAATGTGTTCTCTTTTCAGGGTCATGGCTGATCCTATTGACACCTAGATTCCATCTGTGCACACATGCTCTCTTTTTAAAGGAACCACTTATGTTGCTCATCAGTTTATTGTCCTTACTGTTCCATTTATAAAAGTAGTTTTTTGCATTGTCCCTCAGAGAAATACATGAACATATTCTCTACTTCCCCCTTCTGCATCTTGAAGATACAAAAGACTAACCAGTATTTTCCCCACTTAGGACTGAAAAGAGAATGGCATAAAATTGAAAAAGTCCTATCAAATACCTCTAAATAACCTTTTAAAGCAGTGGTCCCCAACCTTGGGCCTCCAGATGTTCTTGGACTTCAACTCCCAGAAATCCTGGCCAGCAGAGGTGGTGGTGAAAGCTTCTGGGAGTTGTAGTCCAAGAACATCTGGAGGCCCAAGGTTGGGGAACACTGCTTTAAAGTAACTACATGTTACTCATTACAAAAAAAAAAACATTTAACTACTTTATATTACTTCTGCAATGTAGCTTAGTTACACTCCATATATAGTTAAATGTAATTGCTAGTTACAACTAGTTATTTCTATACTATGCAGCCCACTTGTATACTTTTCAATGAGCTTGGATGCACTTTTTGAATCTCTTGTAATCTCTTTGATTATAAGATCAAAAGGATTGTTTATCATAACTTAATGTTGTCTTACATGTTAACATTATTTTCCAAATTATTTATTTTAAAAAGTGACTGCCCAGCTTGAATCTTTAAGCAGGAAAAGCCATATAGAGCTAATCTGATGTGCTATCTTTCAAAGTGTTAATCTTGCAGGTGACCTGTAGCATACTGTGTTATATACCGTATATACTCTAGTATAAGCCGACCCGAATATAAGTGGAGGCACCCAATTTTACCACAAAAAAACTGGGGGAAAAACTGGGAAAACTTATTGACTCAAGTATAAGTTGAGGGTGGAAAATGCAGCAGCTACTGGTAAATTTCAAAAATAAAAATAGATACCAATAAAATTACATTAATTGAGGCATCAGTAGGTTAAATGTTTTTGAAGATACTGCCCTTCTGAACTGCGAGACATACTTCACTGCCTGCAGAGGGAGAACTCATACCAGATGCTGCGCTTATCGACTGCTCTACTGCTGCGTAACAAGATGGAGGGAGACGGAGGATGGAGGAGGAAGGTGGGAGGAGGAAGGTAGGTATATAGAATATGCAGAAGGAGGGGGATGGGAGTGTCCTGGAAGCAGAAATGCAGTGTACATAACCCAGGTCATCGGACCATGCACAGAGGCTGCAGGCACCCGTAGATGAGCGGGGGAGTCCAGAGAACACCTGCACTGCAGAGGAGAAAATGTAATTTTGACATTGACTCGAGTATAAGCTGAGGGGGTGCTTTTTCAGCAAAAAAAATGTGCTGAAATACTAGGCTTATACTTGAGTATATACAGTAATCAGAATTTGTAGTGAAACATTCATGAACATAAAGATTTATTTATCTTTTCATTAGTAACCATATATAAAACTAAAGGGGGAAAATGTAGAATAAAATATGTGCTCTAGTTAAAGAATAAAAAAGTTGTTCCGGTGTGAGCTTTTGTGGATCAAAACCCACTTCTTCAGCTGCTTCTTGTATTTTTAAAGTGTCCCAGTATTTTTGTGTATTGTTTTCTTCTTTTTTCTTTTTTTCACTTTAATTTTGCCAACATGCCAAGATAGACTAGTATAGCTGCCTTTTTGAGAATAATTTGCTATGAAAGCTTCTCGGGAACTCAGGTGGTCACAACAAATTTGTGATATCTGAAAGTTGGGAAGCCAGATGTACTTTATAATTATTGTGCAGGAAATTGGTCTTTGAATGGTTGTGCTTCAAAATAGGACACCACAGAGGACTCAGCAGCCTCTATGTCATAATTTAAACTTTTCTTCCTTGTTTGACCATAAACCATTCAGACCCAAAAGATTTTGCTGCATGAGGCGGAGTAGCAAAAGTTGCCACTCATTCAATAAAATACACATTATCAAAAGCCAATCAAATTATTTTCATGCACAAAGCAGAATCCCTGGCAGTATAAATGCAGTAATTAAATAAGTTGCAGACCTTTCGTGATACCCAAAATTTACTCACTGCCTCACTGACCAGCGAGTTCTAGCCAGAGCTACACTTTGAGTTCTCCTGATGGATTAAAAGGGAAGATGTGACATTATATGCCTATAAATTTATGGAAATGCTTTGTTATGTGGATGCTTAGTGTTTTTTCTTCTTTAAATCATTGCCTTGATACCGTATTTTTTTCTGAGAGGACATAAAAATTTCTTCCCTCCAGCTGAGACACCAGTTGCTATTAGCTTGGGATTTGCCTTGTTACCTTAGAGAAGGAACACCTTTTCAAAGCCCGTTAGGCTTAATTATTAACTCTTCCTGGGCACCTGGTAGCATCATCTTTTCCCCCATGATTAGTGTGTTTCCATTTCCCCTCTTTCTCCACTGCCCTATTTACACCCAGCTTGTGATCCAAAAATGCTCCTAAAATGGCCTACAATATATTTATTTTGTCAGCTGTTATCATATGTTTACCTGAAGATAATTATTGGCACAAGTTTATCATTGTGGCCACTTTATGACTGAGTAGGCCCACAGAATTGGCTTAAAATATTTTGCCACCTGAGGTGAAGCAACAAAGCTTTCCCCTCTTCTACCTGCCATCATCGGTTCCTAGTTTGGCCCCCTAAAGCCAAAATTCTGCAGAATGGATTAGCTGTGGAACTCAAAACATCAGCAAGTTGCTGCTTCTCATGATGGCCAGAATCAGCTGCCTGAGGTGACTCCCTCAGTTGGGCTAATGATAAGTCTGCCCCATATCTACTCACAAATAATTCTGAAGCTGTCCTTCAACTCTTTGCTTCTAACCTCACTGTTCTTATGTAAAAAAAAATTATGGTACAATGGATGGACCATCAAATGTGCAAACAATCTCATTCCTTGGCCTTCTGTCTGAGAAGCCTATCCTTTTCTGTCAAAGACAGAAGGTCAAATTCTGTCTCAGGCTGAATGTACAGTTTCAAATATGACAGCTACCACAGAGTTTTTGAGATGGTACTAATCACAGTGCAAACCCGCCAAACTCACAGGGTGGCTGCTGTAGTGTCAAACTGTGGATTCCACATGCAAAGTGTTCAAAGACCCAATGTGTGTGTCTCAGAGTGGACAACGAACCTGCCTCGCTCGGCTCTCATCCAAGATGCTTTGGCAGATCTCTGAAGTGATCTCTTCATTAGGACTGAAAATACCAGCAAGGGAGAAGAACAGAAATGCTGCAAAGCAATTAGTTTAAAAGCTTTGTGGACTGATCAATACAAGAGCTAGTCTCTATCATCTTTTTAATTTTTAATATTAGCACTTCTTGGCTTCTAAAGAAGGAAAAATTAGCATTAGAGAATCCTGCCACAGGCTGACGCACATACTGGCTTTTCTGAAACTCACATGGTCATGGGCTGCCAACGTCAATGGGATTTACATCTGAGTGGGTATGTCTAGGGCTGGGCTCTTAATCAGATAGAATGTTTAATTTGCCAGCACTGGATTAAAGTAGTGTGATAACAGATCACATATTTTGTATGCTAGGTTTACTATCTATCACCTTCAGGAAAGGCTGGAAAAAACTCTTGTCTGAAATCCTGGACAGACAATGGATACAAAAATAAATAGCCATATCCACTACAAGTGTCCCATTGCAAGGTAGACGATACTGACTAGACTGACCGTGGTCTGACTCAGTTCAGAGCTTCTAAATGGTTCATTTTGGTCTACAACTCCCACAATTCCAGAGGGCAGGATCCTGGAACTGTGAGGCACATGTTCACTTCCAATTTCTACTCAGTATTAGGCACATCCTCTGTATCTGTGTATTGCCACCAAGAGGTGCCAGAAGTACAACACACTGAACCAGATGAAAGAGTCAGGCTAAAGAGGGGTTGAAAACTGAAGTATGTGTGCATACTTGTATCCATATTTACATGCCCTATTTGAGGGAGAATTAGGTGTACATTTTTTATATTTTAAGGGATTTAGTAGTAAAGAGAGGAACAAAATGCCATATTGTTGTAACACTGGAATGTTACAGGAATCTTGGTGGTTAAGGAAAGGGCATGTCTGGATGGTGCAATGCTTTTCCCTAAGCGCCCGTGTGTATTATTTCTTGGCTGAGTCTCTCTTTTTAATGCTTAATCCTTCTAGCAAAGGTAGTAGGAGCTTCTGACCCTCTGAAATAATCTGAAGAAAGCTAAGGCGAGGGAGAGACCATGATAGTGGAGAGAAAGTGAGAGGAGTTTGAAAGAGGAGCAGTAAACGAAAAACACTTCTGTGAGGTTTCAGATCTCACAGTCTTTTCATCAACCTCTGGAAGGTCCACAGGTTCTTCATCAAAACTTTATGGCCTATGTGCTCATTTTGTCTTCATGGCAGAGCTTTGCTTTCTGAACTGGCATTGCGCTAAGCAACACTCAGCTTCAGAAGTGGAGGGAAGTGCGGGTGCTTAACCATATTTTTTTTTCCTGTGGAAAAAAGGAAATCATATCACAAACATTTTGCAGAGGAGGAATGTGCCCTACACTATCTGGGCATCCATTCTCTGTTTGTAGCACTATTTGGTATCTACTGGCATAGTGCAGTAGCCAAGTGTTCTACTTGTCACCACTGAATCAAAGTGGACTAGTAATAAGGCCAAAAAGATGAAGAAGGAGGAAATCTTCCATCTTATAGTGGTGGACAGAAAACAAACTTGAATAGGGAATGAGCAGCCCCTTGTGACAGCTCCTAAGCATGTAGATCTGGTGGCACTCCTTTTCCTAAGGAAACTAAAAGTAGAAAGAGGAAAAGGGGCTATACATGTACTAATCTAGTACATGTATATCGAGATTCCCAGAGTAGTGGGGGACAGAGTGACCAGGACTCTGAATGTCAGGGTTTGAATCCCTGCTCAGCCATGGAAACTCACTGGGGGAGGGGAACTGGTAAAACCACTCCTTAAATATCTCACTTACCTTCAAAGCCCTTTTAGGGTTAATATAAGTCAGTTCCAACATGACTGCACAAATTATACATGTATCTAGAAAAAAAGAAGTATTAAAAACACAGTACAATTATCCATTTGCCTACTATTCCTTCTACTGCTTCTGCTTACTTGCTGTCTTACATTTTTGACTGGTGTTTTGATTAAGGCTTGTAATTTGTTACAGTCTTATAATTTACAGAAGAAAGGAACTCTTCTCTGTTCTCTCAGCTAGTATTAGATACACTCACACACACGGCTCATGTCCTGCTTGTTCTGCTCAGAGCTAAATGCATGTTGACTAAAGCTGTTCTCCTTCCCTCCTTGCTCAGCATATGGGAATCACCCGCTCTCCACCTCGCAACTGGAAGGGAATTGGGATCTCCCTGTTGGTGGTGGCCATGCTGGCCTCGGTGCTCATTGTGGCTATTCTGATGCTAACTCCAGGTGAGAAGATGAGGTCAGCAGGAGGAATATTCCCACAGGTGGCAGTGCACTGGAAATTCCACATGCAGTTCTTGCTATCTGATGGTTAACAAAAATTTTAATTATGGTCCTTGAGTGGGTGGATACATAGCTTTGTGTAACCAGAACAATCTGTGTTATGCATGTAAAATGATAGTGGTGGTAGTGATGGTGATGGATGCAATATTCTTTTTGCAAGAATGGGATGTTTGGGCAAAAATCCCAAAATTCCTTTCAAATACCCTGGCACATAATAATGAAAGAGCATAAGGGTGTGCCACACAGATGGCACATAAAGATGGGGGATAGGCATATAGCCATGCTATCAATCACACAAAGTACACCAGCCAGCGAGGGAGTAACTCTTTATGTTCTTCTGTGTCTAGAAGACCCCCCCTTGGGCTTCCGCATCCCGCTGACTCTTGCTGACCTGGAGAGTGATGAATTGCATGCCCACCACCCCCAAGTACACTGGGTGACAGGTGAGTTGGCAACTGCAGATGTTTGGGTCCCTTAGTGAACTTCTCATTCGAACCCCTTTACCATTTTATCAGAGAACCTAGACTCTTCTATTGCATACTTTTAAAATAGAACCTTTTGCAGAAAATATTTATTTATATTTATTTATTTATTTATTGAGTTCCCCTCCCTCCAGATTTTCAAAATCTTTCTTTAGCATTTTTCTACAGTTCAGTACATAGCATAATCCTGGTTCTCTAGTTGAAGCAAGGTTCTGGGGGCCATGGAATGGGGCACCACAAAGAATGAGGATTCCCTGAATCAGTTGTTCTCAACTTTGAGTAGCCCATATGTTCCTGGACTGCAACTCCCAGAAGCCTTTACCACTAACTGTGTTTGCAGGGGTTTCTGGGAGTTGCAGTCCAAGAATACCTGGGTTACCCAAGCTTGTGAACCACTGCCTTGAATGATTATCTGAACACACATTGAACCATTTTTCAAGACAATTTGATAAATCCAATGGAAAAAACTTTCCTGCGGGAATGTTAATATATTTAAAATGAGTACAGGTCAATCCAATCCCTCTTCTAAATATATCAGGTCAGGTCCTTCTAGTCCCATATTCTACAGTTCACTGAAGGAAAGGATAGAAATCTGTTAGGTAAACCAAAGATGAACAATACTTTTATCACTCCTAGAAAAGTTGAAAGGTGAGGGTTTGCAGAACTATAGCTCATCTGGAAAACAAATCCTTGAATCGCTTTTCCTTGGTGATGACCACAGGCTGCGTCCTTCCCTTTTCTGCAGTTCTGTTCCCAGATATGCACTGACAAAAGGCAGCTTCTTGGTAAAATGAGTACGCACAAATGATGGGTGTCAGAAATCACCACTGGTCAAGAAGTGGTGGTATACTCTTGGTATAGGACAACAGAGTTGTAATTTCCTGAACAGGCGCAATTAGCAACCAGATCTGTCTCCATGATCTCCAGAGCCAAGGAAGGCTTACAGCTCTGTTGGGAGGGCCTACAGATATATTGCCTTTCCTTTTTCTGCACAGATGATGAGCTAGTCGTCTTGAGTGACATGGGGACAGTGATGAAGTGGGACATGCGCCAAAAGAACAGCACCCTGTTGGTGGAAGACAGAGATCTGGTAGGAGCAGTTGCCTTATGATCTATTGTAAAATATAGAAGTTATGGGGGGAAGAGAAGAAGCTCCTTTTGGAGCCAAACATTAGGGGTATTCATTCCTCCACAGTTAAAAGGCAGAGCACTTAGATTTCCATCAGTCTCTCTCCTGGAGCACACAAGTACCTGTATTCAATAAGCAGCACTTGCTTCCATGCCTGTTCTGTGATTACAAGGAGGGAAGGAAGAGTTTGCAGTGCTGATACAGTTGAGTGGAGCAAGCAAGGAACAAGGCTGGCTTCAGACACAGCACGTTCCAGTCATCGTCCCAGCGGGTGTGGCCTTCTCTCTCTGTGGGCTTATCCCCACTGCCACCTGCAGAAGGAACCACTATTTTGACATTCCCACAAGGCTCCACTGTGGTGTTGCTCTTGAGCCTGGTGGGAAATTTGAGAGGGCAGCTTCCAAACTGCCTCTTGCTGTTCCTCTGTGAAATTAGAGCAAAGAATGTGGGAGAGGGGTGTCAAGTAAAAGGGGGTCAAGTAAAGCAACCGTCTGCTCCCTGTCATGGTGGCGTTACAGCAGGGAGAGCCCACAATATAGTGCTGACGGGAAAGGCCACGCGTTCCTCTGTCAGCACAATTCCTGTGAGGATGACAGGTAAACTCAGAGAAACATGGAAGCCAAAAGGAGGATGAGAGATAGTGTCATTGTCCCTATTCACCTCCCCCAAAATCCATTGTTTCCTGTCTACGAGTCTGTTTATACCCTTATGGAAGAACTTAAGAAAGCTACCCTGTTAGCTTTAAAGGGTCAGTTGCTGTTTCTTTACTGTAAAAAGCATCATGTTATGTCCCTCATTAGTAAAATATCACAAGTACACTCCTTTCTATTATTCATTTTTTAAAAGGTTTATTTAAAAATAGGGGGGGAGGTCCTAAAAGGTCCCCAGATCTTACTGACCCTCCCTCCCCTTGAGAAATGTGCTGAAGTATCAAGCAAATGTTGCCTGGTACCTGCAAAAATATGATGTGAATGTAATGGGCACTAGAATAGCCAGAATCATGACCTTGGACATCATCACAACAACAGCAAATGTAACAAATAATGGCATGACTTTTACCATATTGCTTCCAAACTCTGCTCTGTACTATCAGACAGCCGCTCTTCACTGATCTACTTGGTCCTGTCCTGTCCTTAAACGTGAGCACCTGAAGACCTGGATTATCAAAATATTTAATCTTTGTCTTATAAAAATATCCTTGTTTTTCTGTAGCATTTCTTGAAGGCATCCTGGTTTCAAGTGTCTCCAGATCTGCAGTTCCTGCTTTTGGCTTATGATATCCAACAGGTATGTGGCAAAAGACTCCATTCAGATTGGTTTCACATCTGACTGGTAAAACAAGAGCATTGGAATTAAACCACCGAGGGTCCAGTGAGTTCTCCCCACCCCACTCACAACACCAAGAAATGATTGAGATTTATATCACTCATAAAAACCTTGAAGTGGCTTGTTAGGGCTATAATTGGCTGCCTTTCCCTGTTCTTGTCTTGGAGAATGATAAAATGGACAAAAGTGCTGATGCACCAGGATGGAATTCCCCCCCCTCCCACATGTCAGCTATAGGGAATTAATTTTGCTTCACTAGCGGTTCCTGGTAGTATAATTTTGGACAAGACCTCACCTTTTATATTTTCTTGATCTAATATCATTCTGCAGAATGAGATCTGAATGCTTTTCAAACTGCACACGAGAGCCTCACTGAATTCAACCAAAGGCTATCGAACTCAACATCCCGTTTTCCACAGTGCCCACCCAGGTGCCACTCCAAGGCCTACCAGCACAGGGCGAGCGTGAGGCCACCCACCCCAACTTCTCTTACCCAGCAACTGGCATTCAGAGGCATGCCATCTTTAAACCTGAAGGCTGTTTATAAAGCCATGTGACTAAGAGACATGAATAACTCTATCAGTTCCTCTCATCCTCCTTTGAAGCCAACAAAATCTTTATTTTGTTGTTGGTGTATGTGATTATGTTTGATGTGGTTTAATGTCCTTATGTTCACTGCCCAGAGTAGTGGCCTTTTACTAACTCAAGTGGTATATAAATCAAATCAAATAAATAAAAATGGGGGCCATCACCACATTCTGTGGAAGGAAAATTAATAATTTCACTAGGTGCTGGCTGAAAATGTTATTTCTCTCAACCTTGAATCTCCATGTTGTGGTGCTTCATTAGAAGAGCTGGTTTGGGAAAGATTGAGGCAGGAGTGAGGAAGTTGTGGCCTTCCAAGCTGTGGTTGAAGTCCAGCTCTCATCAGCCCTAGGCAGAATAACCAATAGTGAGGGAAGACTAGAATTATAGACCAGCCACACCTGGAGAATGATAAATTGGAAAGGAGGGACTAAATATATAAGCCTAACCCACTTGGCCCAATGCAAAGAAATCAGCCCATCAGATTAAGTTGGAAGAATCCATTGAGAGCCAGCATGTATTTAGTTAGAGCAGAGTGCAAAGATAGTTAGAGTCAGCTAGTTCAGCCTAACTACAAAAGTAGTTAAAGCCAAGCTACCTTTGGATGCCCAGATCATTAGTCAGCAATGCAGGTGTTGGAAAGGGGGCTTCCCAACTCCTAATCAGTCAACTCTTGTATAAACCCTTCTACGAGGGAATCTGACTCAATCACAAGTCTGTGCCACCCACACAGTTGCATCGTCAAGACTAATGGCAGCCCTGGAAAAGGGAGAGGGACATTTACACCCCAGTCCCCATTATGCACGAACATAACTTTCTCTTCCCTGTTGGTCTGTAGGTCTTCCGCTACTCTTTCACAGCTCATTATTTGATCTATAACATGGACACCAGGTAAGAATTACACAGCCGGAATCACATTATGATTACAGATATCTTATTCAAAATGTATTACTTGGTTTGTTCTTTTCTTTTTTAAAAAAGAAAAATCTCAACGTATCTTGTAGCATGTAAAGGCTGAAAACAAAACAACAAGGGCAGTATATCAATAATACATTAACAATAAACCTCTTTCCTACTGGAGGTTTGACAGGTATTCTGAGTTTAGATTTGGCAAGTCTCCAAACCGTTCTCTTAAGGCTTTTCAACCAATGATATTTTTTTCTTCCAACACCTCTTTTTCCAAGTATTTTACCTTGAATAATTGGCTGTGACGGTCTGTGCTGTTCACTTCTCATTACATGGCCACTGTTATTCTTGCTTTCTGCATTTTTTGTAATTTAAAATGTTGTTGTCTTGTATTTACCTTAAGGAGCAACTGGATGAGTGTTTGTTCCATTTATTGTGTTGTATTTCTCACTATTCCTTTCTACATTTATTCCATCAACTACATTATGGTCGCGCTAATTTGGTTGCATGAGTTAGTCATGTATTATTTTCAGCCAGCTGGGCTTGCATTTTTTGGTAGCATTTCCCCTCACATTTTTTGTCTTGCTTTTGTCTTGTGTGGTCACCTATATTGGTCCTCTAAGACTACTGATGGGCATGTCCAGATGACATCACCAATGGCGCACAGAGTGTTGTGTTTTTTTAATTTTTTTACCACAATAGGTACTACTTTCTTTTTTAAAAAATATTTTTATTTTCTATAACTATAACATAAACAAAAACATATACATATAACATATAAACTCAAATACAATAACTGTGTTGAGTGGGATGTGTTGTGGGAGTGAACCCTACTCCTTTTGCCTGCCTTCGGCTGGCACAATTCAGGATTACAAAAATGTAATTTGTAGATACAGTAGTGCTAAACTGACACTGCATTAATTCAAATGCCAACCATGTCTTGTTAGTTTGGCACTACAGTATTTAATTTACTAAACATTTTTGAAAAATGATTTGAATGCCAGCAAAAGAGATTGATACAAGAGTGGTGAATGATAATGGCAGAGAAGAGTGATGGAGAAGGGGGCGCTGTGTGATGTACACCTTTCTAAGATAATTAAACGTTTCAGTGTAAATGGCAACAGCAATTTTAAATACTGTACTAGGATATAGAAGAGGGAAGTTCTTATCAACCTGAGACAAATTTCTGTGTGGTCACTCCCTTAATTTTTCTTCATGGCCCACCTTTAAATAAAATATTCATTCAGAAACTGATTCAATTAGTCTGCAAGTTGGAACTGGTAATAGAATATTGGCCGTTACTCTTTGAGTTATTTTAAAGTAGTTGTGGTGGGGGGTGGGCATTTTTTTTCCTTTTAAAAGAAATAATTAAAAATAAATGTTACTGATGAGCAAAGCAATGAGTTACTTGTATGTAATACACAGGTAGTAACATCCACTAGTTACTTTCAAAAATTAACAAGCAAAAAGTAACAAATTTATTTATACCCACACACACCAAAATGTGTTCTAAAACAACTGCACCAAAAACCCTGATCATGAAACCCCAGGATTATTATTATCATATTTCTGTGGCATGGCCGGCCCTGCCGTTAGGTAGAATGAGGAAACCCCTCAGCCATTCTCCTCTACAACTTGTTCTGCATTTCCTAAACTAACCTACTACCTTCAGGTGGAGGCGAGGATGCTGTCCCAACTGTCACCAAAGTTAAAGTTCTTCTTTAGCCGGGGGTGCGCTGGATGTAAAGGCTGGAAAAAGAGGAGGAGGCTCTTCAGAAACTCTAACATTAACATTTTTATTAGTAACAGAACTCAACTCCACAGAATCAAACGGATCTTGTAAACACGCGTCGGCCAACAATTTGTACTTCTTAGGTTTTACAACCGGAGGATTATCTATGCCCCCTAAAAGGGTGCCGGTCCAAAACGTTCCCAATCTGTCAAGGGTCTGAGGGGGGCCCTCCGTACTGCGCACACCACCCCACAGTACGGATGCCTGGCCCAATCTCCCTCTGGGGGTTTCTCCTGGAAGGAAGGTCCAGGCCGGATCACCCTCCTCCCTCCAGGGTGATTCCTGGGGTAAACCACTACTGTCCATTCTAGAGGATCGTATCCCCTTCCTTTACCTTCAGGTAGAATCGGATCTGGGAGTAAACCACCTCCCAAAAATAGATTAGGAAACTCTGCAGTAATACCGGTAGCTCCTCCCATTCCGAGCATGGGCTCTGTCTGAACCCCTCGATTCACTTTCCGTTCCGTGTTGGTATCAGTCCAAAGTCTGAAAACGCGTGCACTTTTGTCCTCATTTATATCTTCCCATACGATGAGGTCTAGCTCCTCCCCTCCCTCATCTGCCAGACAAACCTCCACCGGTTTTCTCTCAAATCCCTCCGCTTGTTCTATCTCAATCAAGACCCCCTCTACACACCCACTCTCCTCTATGGTCTCTTTCTTGTCTGAGGACGGCGCACTCCTCTTCTCGCCTTCACACATGGCCAGCCCTGACGTTAGGTAGAATGATGAAACTCCTCAGCCATTCTCCTCTACAACTTCTTCTGCATTTCCTAAACTAACCTACTACCTTCAGGTGGAGGCGAGGACGTTGTCCCAACTGTCACCAAAGTTAACTGCCGATCCAGTTCAGTTCTGTATGTGGAACATCATCTTGTTTTTGATCCCTGGCAAGAAAGCATCGTGAGGTTGCCCTCAGCTCTAGATGGGCTGAATAATTTCCTATCTATGCCCACACACTTCTTTATGACAGCTTTTATATCTTCTATAACATTCACTTATAACTTACCATTTTATGTTGGTTATGCCTGTAGAAGAACTTGAAATTAAGAGATCTTCTTGAAAAAAAATTACATCTGTCAATACTTCCTTCCGACTTCCCTCCAGGCCAACAGCCAATTTGCCCATTATAAAAATTTTTGGTGGACGTTGCTGTCTGTCATTACAGTCTATCCAAAAGAATTAATTTGAAATCCATTAGCAGATTACAGTGTCACACTCCACATTTTTAATATAATGAGCACATAGATGAGTTCCCAGCATATAGACATTCGGCATATGCAGAGAATTAACCCCTCCTGGGGGTTTACACTCAGATTTCTCCTCAGTTCATCTTTACAGTAAAGAGATGCTGATTTGTAAAATAGTTATACAGAGCTGCACAGGCTTAAAAAACCTTTCCTCATAAAGAAATGTAAAGAAATCTTTGTTCTTCAGATTTTTGGTTAATAACATAAGAGGAGCCCTCTTGAATCTAGTCCAGTACAGTATTCTCATCCCAGAAAAGCATACAGAGCTCACCCGAGGCATTTGGCTGCCTGAGGGGAAGGACAGGATGGCTGGTTCCCATTATTCCACAGACTAGAGTGCCAATGAAGTGAGATTGGGTCTTCCAGAACACCTCAGGCCTGGCCTCACAGCTCACAGACCTTTGTTCTCCAACAAGGAACAGCCAGGAAACTGCCAGCCCTGTTCCCCAGCTTCTGCTGCTTCAGGGGGATTGCCTCACTCTGCCTCATGACAGGGCTGGCTCCTCTGGCCAACTATTGACCAACAAAAAGCCCACAAGCAGGGTATTGGGGGGGGCAACATATCCCCTTTCCTCCCAGCATACTGCCTCTGACAGTGGAGAAAGTAGACAGCGGTCATGAGTGGTTGTCACTGTGAGTTGTAATATTGATAATCCAGTGCCAAAATTCTGCTTTGATCCATAGTCCCCCACTTGGTTCCACCATACTTTGCTCACTCACCATGAAGTAGTGCTGTTACAGTAATACAGATACATGACCTCTCAAAGAAGGAAGCTCTTACTCTTCTTGTAACTGATAACTTGGCCTTTTCTCTCTCTTCTCTTTCCAGTGTTTCAATTTAAAATCCTACTAAACATTTAGTATTCAAAAATCATTATGCAAAATGGTGAGGAGAGAGAGCATGCTCTGCATTTGTAGTCTGTTTTGTTATGCCTAATTAAGATTTTGTGTATATGTGTATACAATCTTAATTGCTTTAGATATATAACTGTACACGCATACACAGACACACACACACACACAATGTATGTCTATTTGCTGTCTTTCTCCTGAAGGATCTAAGGCAGCTTGTAATTTTTTAAAATTACACATTTAAATGCATTAACAAATGATAAATTAAAATGACATATGACTTCTCAGCTTTTACTTTATTTTTTATTTGTTAAATCTGAATTTTGAATAAAGGCAAGTTGGTTGTTGCAGTCAGCAGTAAAACAAATTACCATATTTTCCATGTATAAGACTATACTTTTGTCTAAAATCTTTAGACTAAAAATTGAGGGTCGTCTTATACCCGGAAGTAAGCTGAGAAAAGAACAAAAACAAGTGGAGGGGAAAGCAGGGATCAAAGCAATTCTACAGCACTTTTATCCCTTTCCCCCTACACTTGCTAAACCCCACTTAGATTTCTTAATTTTGGATTAGAAAAGTGGGGGGCGTCTTATCTATGGGGGGTCTTATACACGGAAAAATATGGTATGTATATGTGCACATTTCTGACCACTTTGCAGAACTATCTTCCTTATAGAAAGATGACATTCCATGTTTAATTCATAAAAATATCTGGTTCACCTACGGTACCTTAATGGTAGGTGGTGGTGATGGAGCAAACCTGACATAAAGGGCCAATTCCACTGGCTTTGCTTGCAGTGTTTCTCATGTAATTCTTCTGCAATGTTTGTTTGTTTCCCCCTTTTAGAGAAACCAGCAACCTAGATGTCCCTGAGGCTGAGGCTGTGCGCCTGCAGCATGCAACATGGGGAGCTCAAAATAACCAACTGGTATATGAGTCTATTCAATTTATTTTCATTTGAATTATTAGAGCTTGTCTTACTACTAGGAAATAACCCTCCCACTGGGAGGCAGATATTGCAGTGAACAGATGGTAGAGCTGTGTAGCAAACCACCCTGGTTGGAAAAGTAATTTTGGGCTATGGTGTGCTAGGAATTGTAACCTAAAAAAGTAATTTTTCCAAGCTCTGTATAGCCACTTCCCTGACACCACTGTTGAAGTGATTAACCTCCAGTTCAGTCAGCTTCTTCATGTGGAATCTGAGGTGGGTGCAGGTGCCATTCTTCACCTCAATGGCTAAAAGGCAAATTAATCGATTGACAATTTGTTTCAATTGACTGGCAACTGTAGTTTAGACTAATGAATTGCAGATCCAACTTTAACAGAACACCTTTTGGCACGTCTGTCTACACTAGCCATGTCCACTTTGATCTCAGATCCTGTTGGGGTCTTTTCCTTCAGACTCCGAACTTCTACAGGCCGTGAAGCATCTAGACCAGGGATGGGGAACAGGTGTCCTTTCCAGATGTTGCTGGACTACATCTCTCCCCTTATCTCTCAGTATTTGTGACACAGTCTAAGGATGACAGGAGTCAGTGTCCTACAATAACAGGCCTGAGAAGTTTATTGGCTGACAAAATTACAAAACGTTGCCACAGAAAGTCATGGCCTGGATTAACTGGCCTAGCAGATGAATTTGACCTGTGATTCTGTTTCCATATTTACCTAGAAACGTAATGAGAACTTGTCCTGTCAGTGTGCTGGTGAGAGCCAGCCTCTGTGCTGATGTCCCTAAAACAGAACTTTGAACAGTTGTTTATCCAGGCTCTGCCCTAAAGTGGTAAAAAGCCCCATTTTGCCTGCCAAAGCACTGCTCCCGGCTAAATTCTGGTTGTGGAAGAATGAAAAGCTCCAGATGAGCTGATCTGCTCATCTTACCGACTCCTCCTGTTCCCAGGTCTTTGTGCTGGATAATGATCTCTACTATCAGCCTGGTGTCTCCAGCAGGGCCAAGCCCATCACCTCATCTGGACGCCAAGGCATTCTCTTCAATGGGATTTCTGACTGGCTGTATGAAGGTAAAGGAGGGTGAAAGGTGTGGGACATTGCCAGGAGCCCTCAGTCAGGACTAACTGCTGTGATTTTTCTAGCCTTTCCTAACTGGGTGTCCTCCAGAGATTCATGTTGGCCGGGGGGGGGGGCTGATGGGAACAGTAGTCAAACACTTCTTGAGACACTGGCTTGGGAATGGCTATTCCGGGTTTAACAGCACCCCTCTTCCTCTCTGGAAACAGAATATACACTGCAGAGTGCTTTCAGACCTATAACAAAAGAAGTGTTCGCTCAATTTGAGAGTAATTGCCACGTTTGTTGTTGTCCTATATTATCAAGTTGCATCTGACGTATGGTAACCCTAGTAGGAAGCAGGGATGAGCACTGCGCCCTAGAGTCAGACATGACTGGACTAAATGTCAAGGGAAACCTTTACCTTTAACTTAACCCTAGTAGGGGTTTCAAGGAAAGTAAGATGTTTAAGGAGCATTTTAACCAATATTACTTCTCTCTCAGTGAGTTTCTAGGGCTGAGCAAGGGTTTGAACCTGTGGCCTCTGAACCCCTCGTCCCTTCCCTCTGTCCACATTCCATGAGACCCCTGGCTTCTCTCAGTGGGTTCTCAGCGGAACAACTGCTTAACATCATTAAAAGGAAATACAGTATTAAAGTTAAGAACAATAAGTATACTTTAACATCATTAAAAGGAAATATTAAAGAACAATAAGTATACATTTAAAAAAATGCCACTCTGAGAAATGGAAAATACAATGGAAAACCCAAGTAATACTAAAAATTCAGTCAAAGCATTAATCATAACAAACAATCCATCTACACAATCACACACAGGTAGCTGGTTACTGAGGGAAGACTTGCCTGAAGAGAAAGGTCTTTGCTTATGGAAGGACAGCAAAGAGGGGGCCAGCCTGGCCTCTTGTGGGAGGAAGTTCCAAAGTCTGGGAGCAGCCACAGAGAAGCCCTTCTCCTGTGTCCCCCATTAGACACACCTGTGAAGGTGACGGGATCAAGAGAAAGGCCTCTGCTGATGAGCCTAACACCCGGATAGGCTTATAATGGAAGATACGGTCTTTGAGATGGCTTGGACCCAGGCCATTGAGGGCTTTATAGGATAAAACCAGCACTTTAAATTGTGCCCAGAAGCTGATTGGCAGTCAGCGGAGCTGCTGTAACAGGAGGGTTAGGTGATCCCTGTAACCAGCCCCAGTCAGCAATCTGGCTGCTGCATTTTGGACCCGTTGAAGTTTCCTGACACATTCCATTGGCAGCCCCACATAGAGTGCATTACAGTAATCCAGCTAGGAAGTAACTAGGGCATGTATCACAGTGTCCAGATCAGATCTCTCAAGAAATGGATGTAGCCAGCACACTAGTTTTAATTGTGCAAATGCACTCCTGACTACCGCCAAGATCTGGGTATCCAGGCTCAGAGATAAATCCAGGAGCACCCGCAAGCTGCACCCGTTTTTTTCAGTAATCCCATCCAGTACCGGCTGTATCCCTCAGTGGGAGTGTAATCCATCCAGTACCAGCTGCATCCCTATTCTGCCTTTCGACTGACCAGAAACACCACTGTCTTGTCAGGATTAAGTTTCAGTTGATTCACCCTCATCTGGTCCATTACTGATACCCTGTCTTGTCAGGATTAAGTTTCAGTTGGTTCACCCTCATCTGGTCCATTACCGATACCAAACACTGATCCGCACCTTCCTCAGATTTAGGTGACAAGGAGAGGTAGAGTTGAGTGTCTTCCACATACTGGGGACAATGAACCCCAAAACTCCAGATAATCTCTCCCAGCAGTTTGTATTTAGACATTAAATAGGAGGCAAAACCTTGGGTAACCCGGGTGTAGTCCCCAGAAAGCTTCCTTACTAGCTGTGTTGGCCAAGGTTTCTGGGAGTTGCAGTCCAAGAACCCCTGGGTTACCCAAGCATGGGGAACCCCTGATCAAGGTGAAAATCCCCAAGAGGTGTGAGTTGTTCTAAATTATTCTCTAGTGAGTTCCAATCTATGGGTATTCTGTGTATTTAACAGGGATGAGAAGAGTTGGGGGATGAGCTTAAGCAGATAATCTTCTCCTTGCTATGTCTCATGCCTGCTTGTCCTCTGCTCCCAAGAGGAGATCCTGCAAGCAGCTGGTGCACACTGGTGTTCACCTGATGGCATATGGTTAGCCTATCTCACCATCAACAATTCCGTGGTGCCCAAGATGGAGCTGCCCCAGTTCCTGGGAGGAAACTACCCAGCTAGCCAGCATTATCCTTACCCCAAGGTGAGCCATGCCTCTGTTTTCCTACATGAGGGGAGAGTTAACAGCAGACATGATGTTTCTCAGTTTAAAACACACACAAAAAATGATATAATCTTTTCTATTCCTGCCTCACAGTTTACTTCCCTTGAACACTACTCTTGGCAGTTTTGAGAAATTCTTCTATGAAGTTTTGATCTCCTTGTGTCTGATCCCGAGCGTCAGCATTTGCCAGTCTAAAGGCATAACTGATGCAGGCCTCAGAGTCCAACAGATCTCTGGGTCCTCTGCACCACTGCCCCAACCATTTCTTTCCAGAATCTCGTACAGCAATATACAAAAATTGCCTTCCCCTGGCCTTGCCTATACAGTAGATTGGAAAAAGCAAATATGGCAGCTTTTGGCTGTTAGCTTCCAAAGCAAGTGACCTCCAGATCTGCTTGACTGCAAAACCCAACTCCTCTGGCTGGTGAGGATGGAAGCTGTAGTCCTACAATCTGGAGGACACGAGCTTAGAGAAAGTAGGTTCCTTCCTTTTTATGAATTGCCGTTTTTAATCCACTCAAATATCTTCTATTAAGCAAGGCATTCCTCCTTCATGCCATACCATGTTTGGAGTACATTCCTGCATGTTTTGATGGAACCACTGTTGGTCTTCACCATACATTATTGGTTTTACCATCTCTTTACAATACACGCTTGTACTGAACTCAGGCTTACTTCCTCCTGTTCTTGATTTCCTCCTTTCCCTCCTTTCTCTTTTCCCACTCAGGCTGGCCAGCCCATTCCCTCCGTTCAGCTGTTTGTGGTTAACCTGTCTGGGGCACGGCTTCGCCCACTGGAGCTCCTTCCTCCCGAATCCTTCCAGAGCAGGTGAAGTGGGAGGAGAAGAACAGGGGGGCTGTTGTGCTGCTGCTCTTAATAAAGTGGAGGTCGTGCTAAAGCAGGTGCAAATTCAGGAGTAGTTTCCCTTGAGCAAAAAAGATTGAAACTGGGAAGGGAACCTCAATCCTCAAGGGGGATGAATCAAACCTTCCTGGGCTCCCATCGTGGCCCTCTGGGTCTCCTCAGAAAGTCATGCCCCTTCTCCATGACACCCATGTTTGATGGTTTCCCAGTTTTTGTACAACCATCTGGGAGGGGGGGGGCTTTGTTTGTTTGTTTGTTTTTAGCATTCTAAAAGGTTAACAAAAGCTTGTGGGTTTTTTTGTTTTTTTTAGAATCCTACACGTACAGGCCATGAGGCCTGTAAGCTATAAAAAGCTGAGTTTTGTTCTCTTCTGTTCTGGCTCCTTCCTGCCTTTTTGCCTTTGGCCTCTTAGGCTACTGGAATACCTGAGAGGTTCTGTGAATTGAGCCCTTGGGCTGAAAGTTCAGTTCGAATGTGTGTATGTTTAATAACGTCCCCATTAAGAAGGAATAGCCAGGAATAGCAGTGAAGAGAGCGGATGCTGACTCTGAGACTGCCTCAGCTGGCTGTGCTGCCAGACCCTGAGAAGATCAGTGGATTCTTTCTGCTCCCCCCCCGAAACGATGTTTTCGGGGAGCAGATGGGTTTGTTTCCTGCTACTCCTCCCCCCACGCTCTTATTTGGGACTGCTCGCTCACTGCGGTTTTCTCCACAGGGAGTACTACATCACCATGGTCAAATGGGTGGCCTTCTCCCGGCTAGCTGTGAGGTGGCTAAACAGGCCACAGAACATATCCGTGTGGAGCCTCTGTGAGGTGGTCGCAGGAACCTGTGCTGAGGTGAGTTCAGCAATGTGTAAATTAAATGTGTACTTATAAGACAGAGGTGTAGAGGGCTTTGTGCTGCGCCTAGGACAGGCACGCCCAAACACATGGGTCATGCTGATGATTGCATAGCCCAGTGTTACAGCATCTGCTTTCCATGTAGAAAAAGGTCCCCAGTTCATTCCCTCACCTCTCCAGGTCAGGCCTTCTCTGAACACCTTGAAAGGCCACTACAAGTCATTGTCAACAACAGTGGTCTAGAGTGACTAGAGGGAGCGGTGATCTGGTTTAAGGCAGCTTATAGAGGATGCAGTGAAACAATATAGGCAGCAGGAAACATAGGTTAAACTGGGTACAGTAATACCATTAGCACATTGTTAGAAGCAGAGCTTCCATAAGTGGTAAAATACATTCATTTATCCCAGCATTAGCTCACCTTGCCATCATATCTTGCATATTAGCTTGCTTTCATGTTGTAATTGGTCATCACGAGGTGGACACAGGTTTCATTTGTAGTCTGATTATTAAAGCATATGAATTTGAAAGAATTGTGTTGCTGGAGGGGATTTTTTTTATCATTTCCTAATTACATAGTTGCTATCTTGTCTAGCTTGAGAGCAATGCAAGATACTGTATGTGCCTCAGCACAATGAACCCAGTCCTGACCTCCTGAGGGCCAATCAGAAAACAAATGAGTTCATTTGCAAGCTATGGGTGACGGGAAAAACTCTTGCTCCACTTCAGAAGCTGTCTGTCTTGTCTAGCAGTTTGACCCTGAGCCCCTATGTTTTCAGTGATGCCAGGATGGGCTTTCTTGCTCACTGTAGTGGGTCTTAAATGAGATTCTCAAGAGGTAACTGGGAACAGATGTATCTGTGCTTTTTGTTTTGTTTCTGCATATAGTTTCATTGGGAGCTTGTCATGATTTCTCCCTCCCAAAGGCTTTGTTTAACAAGCTGCTCTCTCCCCCTAGAAATACAAGGTGACATCAGATGCCTGGGTGAACATGCAGGTAATAAACTGACCATCTCACTCCTTTATCACCCCCAGTCTAAGTCTACTACCAGGAAGCTGCTGTTTCCCTACCAAGCAGATAATCAATGGGTCAGTTATGTTTTTTTCATTTACTTCACCCTCCCCGTGCAAAGGAAACAAACAATTTTGAACGTGTTATGAAAACAAATTATAACGTACCAGCCGTTCACTCAATAAATAATATTTGTTGGCAATACCCTAAATAGTCTAGCTCTAAGAGCAGCCCTTTTGTTTCGGGTCCATGGAGTTTTCTTGGCAAAGATACTGAAGTGGCTTGCCAATTCCTACTCCAGGTGGATTGCGTTTAGTCGGAACTCTCCACTATGACCTGTCTGTCTTGGGTGCCCCTGCACGGCATAGCCCACAGCTTCTCTGAGTTACTCAAGCACCTTTGCCACGACAAGGCAGCAATCCATGCAGATGATACCACTCTGATGGCAGAAAGTGAGGAGGAATTAAAGAACCTCATAATGAGGGTGAAAGAGTAGAGTGCAAAAAACAGTCTGAAGCTCAACATCAAAAAAACTAAGATCACGGCCACTGGTCCCATCACCTCCTGGCAAATAGAAGGGGAAGATATGGAGCCAGTGACAGATTTTACTTTCCTGGGCTCCATGATCACTGCAGATGGTGACAACAGCCACAAAATTAAAAGATGCCTGCTTCTTGGGAGGCAAGCGATGACAAACCTAGACAGTATCTTAAAAAGCAGAGACATCGCCTTGCCTGCAAAGGTCCGCATAGTCAAAGCTATGGTTTTTCCAACAGCGAGGTATGGAAGTCAGAGCTGGACCATAAAGAAGGCTGACCACCGAAGAACTGATGCTTTTGAATTGTGCTGCTGGAGGAGACTCTTGAGAGTCCCCTGGACGGCAAGGAGAGCAAACCTATCAATTCTGAAGGAAATCAACCCTGAGTGCTCACTGGAAGGAGAAATCCTGAATACTTCGGCCATCTAATGAGAAGAGAAGACTCCCTGGAAAAGACCCTGATGTTGGGAAAGTGTAACGGCAAGAGGAGAAGGGGATGACAGAGGACGAGATGGATGGACAGTGTCATTGAAACTACCAACATGAATTTGACCCTACTCCGGGAGGCAGTAGAAGACAGGAGGGCCTGGCGTGCTCTGGTCCATGGGGTCATGAAAAGTCAGACACGACTAAATGACTAAACAACAACATAATACCACCAGTGTGCCACTTTAAGGCAATGCTCTCTTACTATAGTTGAGATTGAGTTAAAGGTTTCTCCTATCTTTCTGACCTTCAGTTGGGAAATCCAGGACATGTTGAATATTAAAACAGCTCTGTCAGAGCTGGAGGAATTTTCCTGCCCACCCCACCCCAAGGACATCTCCCAGAATCCCACCAGCCACTGTCTCTGCTAAGAAAGTCTGGGAGTCATCGTTCAGAAAAGTAACTTTTCTAAGTTGTAAAGCTTAGACTTCTTGCACTGAGGAACTGGTAGACTGAGACAAAGCAAGTGACATACAAATATCCATCTCAAGGTGTGTCTATGGGTGGATGTGATGAAACCTGCCAAGGTCCAAGTAAAGTAAACATATTGACCCCAAATCTAGTCTGCCCTTGTTTTTAGGGAACATAATACCATGCCATAATGAAGCTATCCATAACTGATCAATGGTATGCAATAAGTTGATGGGACCTCGAGCATCACCCAACCACTCATTGTTTATAGAGGGCTTTGGCGTGTCCATTCTTCTTAAAAGTCACTTTGAAGGCTTTGGGGCTTGGATACTCCCTCAAAGCACCCCTCTCCTTTCCCCTGTGTCTTTCTCAGCAGGGAGTGCCTATCTTTTCTGAAGATGGGGAGACCCTGTTTCTTCCTGTGCCAGTGAAGCAGGGCCCACGAGGGGAATTCCACCATGTCACCATGCTTTCCACACAGGTGAGTCTAGCCATGGAATGCATTCAGCCAGCAACTTCAAATTCCACCCTGGGTTCAGCCACAAAACAGCTTCCTCCAGACAATGGAGAGGTGTTTCCCATTTAGCCCAGCTACCTTTCAGGCCTTCTACCTCATGATGTCGGCCAATGAGACATTTCACAGTTTTTTTCCGCTCTATGGAACATTCAGAAATTCTCTTTCAGTTCTAGGGTTGATTGTTCTTTTCTAGCAGACTTTGGAAAGGTTACTTTTTTGGACTATCATGGCGTCAAACTAGACCAGAATTTCACCACCACAGTCAGCACCTATGTATTATAGAAGGGCTCCTGTGTCTTTAAAGTCTACATGCCAGACAGAAATTTAACAGGCAAAGCTTTTGGTGGCAGAGATGTGGAGTGGGAAAAGTTTCTCCTTTTTCAGAATCGCTGTATATTTTGCACAGAATGTGTTAAGGCACAGAAGTCTTGCTAGGAGAGAAAACAAAAAACAGCAAAAGATCAGAGTTTGTTTTGTGACAGATGATTAAACGAAGCCATTTACAAGTAAATAAGAATAATGGGTTCAGCAGAATGCTGAAGAAGAATGTGACAGTGTTTCTCTCCATGTTTTGAAAAGAATCACATCCACATTAGGTTGTTGTTACAGGGTACAAGAGCAGAACAGGCTAGTGTCTGTCTGGTCATCTTGGCAGCCTTCCCTTGCAAGCAGCCAGAACAGAGTTGTGAGAAAAGGCTGCCTGTGTGGCCACATATGGGCATAACGTACAATTTGCATTAAGAAAGTGGGGCTCAGTCTTTGCCTAAACAAAATGTTGAATAGACTATGAAACTCCATCTTCATCAAACAACAGCATTTCCCATCTAGGAGTCCTACCTTCCTCTCTCCTCCAAATTCAGCATTGATCAGCAATCTAACACACAAAAATTAAAGCATGTAGACCTTTCTTCCAAGCATAGATATGAACATGATGAAATTCATATAGGTTCTACTGCTGAAGACATAAAAGGAGAATCAGCTAAAAAGGGGGTGGGAGAGCATGACAACACTCAGCCTCTTCTAGCAATATTTCTGGGAATAAACTGCAAATATCACCGCCTTCCTTTTTTATCTCCCCTCCCAGATGAGCCGCAAGGAGAGCAGTGTGCGCCTCCTTACTTCTGGGAACTGGGACGTCACCAGGATCTTAGCCTATGATGAGAACATCAAACGGCTGTGAGTACCTACTTGGACTCCATGAACCTTCCTTGGTCTGCAGCAGCTCCTCCAGACCATGGTATACGGAAGGAAGAGTGCCTAGCTGTGGCTAATCACTTCCTTGTTCCTAGATACTTCCTGAGTTCAGAAGACAGGCCAAGCGCTAGACACTTGTACAGGTGAGTTATCTGGCCCACACCGTACTATCAGTGCTTAGCATTTAATCATGACATCCAACTTAATTTTGCCGCTTGGAATTGTCCAAACTGCACATTCTCTAAACACTATTGGAAGGAAAGACTGATTTACCAGTCCTGAATATTTTATACTAGAAAATCTTGCTGCAAGTCAGAATCAAGCTGACAGCTCGTAATTATTGTCATTATAGTATGCATGTAAGATCAAGTGAATAATAGGATCCTGCCACCTGGTGGCGTGAGGATAAAATTGGATCTAACTACTCTTGAGCAAATGAATTTTATGATTCAGTCAGAAATCATTATGTGCTGTGTTGGGTTGCTTTCAGCTTATGAGGACTCTATGAATTAATGAGTTCCAAAAGACTCTAGTGTTAAAAGCCCTGCTCAGGTCTTTCAGTCTCGAAGCTGTGGTTCTATGGAATCACTCCATCTCATATTCAGTTTTCCTCTTTTCCTGCTGCCTTCAGCTTTTCCCACATGCCAGTGAGGCTTGTCTTCTCATGATGTGCCCAAAGTACAATAGCCTCAGTTTAGCCATTTTTGTTTCCAGAATGAATTCCAGTTTACATTGACTGAAATATAATATAAAAATTGGAATATAATCTGCAAAATGAACATGGGAAGAGGACTGTGTGGTGGCGCATACAAATCTCCCCCCCCCCAATTTTCCCTATGAGTCAACCCCTTTTCTTGTATTCTTGGTTGTTCCTCAGTCTGATCAATTAATGTGCATAGCATGGAAGTAGCTGCTGGCCGTCCCCAGCGTATCTGTGCCATGGGGCAGGAAGGTGCCTGTGGGTAGAGCAAAGTACAGTACACTACTTGCATGGAGGCAGGCACCTCCTCATCAGGCAGAGTGAGCCTTTATTTGTTTATTATTTATCAGCAGGCACAGCCTCTTGCTTGATTTGCACAACAAAGGACTGGCGTGCCCAGCCCCCCCCCCGCCCGCACCTACAGTCTAAACCTCAACACAACAGAAACAGAGGAAGGGAGGCAAGCATAAACTGGGAAAGATTACACCCTTGCTTTAGTTTCACACCAGTAGGTTGAGTTGCAAACAACTGAGAGTAGAACGCATAGCAATTATAAAGATTGAACCCGAGGTCTCTGTAGAAAAAGTAGGATGGGGGGGGGAGGATTTCAAGGAAAAGGGCTGGGCAGTGTAAGTGTGTTCCCTTCAGCTTCATTTGCATGTGAGCTCTCTGCCTCCCACCACAACTCTTTTGCATGACATCCTTTTGACTAATGTACCAGTTCCTCCCAATGAGGAGATGGGGATGGAAGGGGCCGCCACAGCCTCCCTCCTCCATCTTCGGGTCTCTGTGCAAGAGAAAGGCTTCTTGATATGGTGTCTCCTCCTCTTCTTCCTGGGCAGCGTGGACCTCAGTGGCTCCTTCAACCGCACCTGTGTGACCTGCAGTCTGCTCCCCGACTGCTCCTTTGTTGATGTCAAGTTCAGCCCTAAGAAAGGGCATTTTATACTGTTCTGCAAAGGTAGGTTTCTGCAGGGCAAGGCAGTCGTATTTCACAGGCACATCAGAACATGGACCTGCGCTCGAACACAGATCTAGCTTTGCCATTGTACCTAGACTTCATTGAGAGTAGCAACAAAATTGCTGAAGGGATGGAAAGCTGACACGTGATATTTGGTACCTCTTCACCACTAGTCAAGTCTAAAGTGGGACAGCACATACGTGCATGGAACCTCCTTTTTAAATTGCTTCCATTTTCAGATGGCCAGTTATTTAAGGGGTGCATTCTCGTAAGAGACTGGCCAAAGTGGACTCACCCGTAGCCAAGTGAATTAGTGAATTTGGTTTTTAAATGTTTCATTTTAATCCACCTATTTCCACCTGAGGCAGATTGCCCAGCTGTGTCCCTACCTTGACACCCGGTCCCTCACCATGCCGGTCCATGCATTGGTAGTCTTGAGTAGAGATGGGGGTACTCGTATACGACTACCCCTGCACAGGTGGACCTAACGAGGGTCCAGCCCCCTGGGACCAGACTGTCCACTCACCTTCCGCTGTTGCCACGGGCTCTGCGCTCCCTTCCTGTCACTCCGGAGCTCGCAGTCTGCAAGCCACTCTTCAACCTTGCAATGAGGCTCGCCCTTCCACCTCCTGTCAGGACAATTGGATAAGTGGCAGTGACAAATTACCATTAATTAATAGGGTGCTGATTGTGTTCTTGGTCACCTGACCAGGAACACGAACAGCACTTTATTAATTAGCAGCAATCAGTGCCACAATTTTGGCAATCTCACTTAACACATGTGTAAATTACTAACAGGATTTTGGCCGTAGTCTTTAAAATACCACAACTGTTTTAGTTTTAGTGCAGAAACGAGCCTTGCATGGCGGCCTTACTGAAAACTTCAGTAAGCTCTAAATGAAAAAATTGAGCTTTGGGAAAGATAAGTATTGGACAAGCATCTAGAAAAAATGCTAGGTCCCCAGTACTCTAGAAAGAGCATGATAATGGAAGCTTTCATACTTAAATTAGTACTGAGAAACAAGTTTTTGAAGTTTAGATTTATTAGTCAGTTATTAGGTTTTTTTATATAATTAAAAACAGCAACAACACCGGGGGCACACTGGGTGGCACAGGCCTGCATTTTGCCTAGTCCTGCTTTACAAACAGCTCATACTTAGGAAAGGTAGAATATTTGGTGTTGCTGGGGGAGGGGTCAGGATGGACAATTGCAAGGGACATGTTTCAGATTTGCCAGCACAATCCCAAGGGAGCAAAGCTAAAGGAAAATTAATTAACAGAATTAACTTTTTAAATTGCAATGGTTATCTACACTAAACATTGCTGTCATGAGCTTTTGTTGACTGAAATATGGTTTAATTTTTTTAAAAAAATTAATCGGAAAAACACCCTAGTATCCTGTAGTCATCAAAAACTGGGTTTAAATAAGTAAATACATTTGCAGAGGTGAGGGTAGGGTAGAGAAACTGGGAAGACTCAAAACATGGTCAAATGGTCACTCATGTTGCCTAGACAGCACACAGAAACACTTGAGACAGAGAGGCAAAGTTTTGCCATTCTAAACAGAATGGCAAAATCTGGCCCTCCCAGGGTTCCTATTTATGAACCTTGCCAGGCTGATACCTATATGTATATATACTCCAGGAGCACAAACGGACCTTTTGATGGTTAAGATACCTGGCCTAGAGGTTATATGCTAACCTGAATTTGCTTCACCCCACAGGGCCTGGAATCCCACAAGTCTCTGTTCATTTCACCAATAACCCTCATGGTGAGTATAAGAGCTTGGGGGACCTTGACAGTTTATTTCTTTCTTTCTAATTAGAAAACTCTCCACCAGATGGCTTTCAGTGTAATCTGAAACGTTTGGTGGTAAAATGAAATTGTGATGCCTTTAAGCTTCATGCTCATCCACATAGTCCTGGACTGTGAACTGGTGTGGCATATCTCTCACACACGCACACCCGTGATCATCCTTCATTTCTTTGAACTCTGCTACTTTCTTTTCTTTTTTTACAAGAGTGTGCTCAGAGCTGGTCACAATGTTTAAATGGTCCCATATTTTAAGAATGTCTGGAGAACTGTTACTACTCACGGTTGTTTTAATAATTAAAGGTGTGATAAAAGTATTAATTGATGCTCACAGTTTTGTGTAAATGGATACCTCTTTCCTGAAAAATCTGACAATCCAACATTTGAAAATAAAACAAGTGAGAGAATCCAACTTAACATGTAAATAAAAATATATAATCTATTTTCAGAAATGCTTAACATAGCACTCTCCACATTTAAAATGTTTCTTTTTACGCCTCCCATTCCTGACATTCTCGAAACCGTATATCCCATGACAGATGACTTAGCCACTGAATCCGATCTTATCACTGGCAGTGAAGCAGCTTCATTTTTCCCTGTCTTGGAGACCACAGAGGACATGGAATCCCGTCTGAAAACATCTCACCCATTCTCCCCAGCCACTGTCCTGCTCTGGCTGATGGCAGGGCCACTGAACCCCACTGTTTTTTTCCCCTGATCATCGTAACAGCACAAGCATTTACATGTTCACTCAGAAGTAAAGTCCACTATGTCCCATGAGGTGGGCTGGGTAAGTCAGTCAGTGTGCAGCTGAAGACTGTGGAACGAGCTCTGTTTACAACCAAGGATGAGGAGTTTCAGGCCCCTGGATGTTGTTGGACAGCAATGCCTATCATCTCTCACCACTGGCTAGGCTGGCTACAACTTGTGGGAGTTGCAGTCCAAGGTTATCTGGAGTGCCACACTTGTTCCTCACATCTTATTTTAATTCTGTTCATTAAATAGCATCAAAATGTCATCATCTTTACCACCAAGTGTTTCAGATTGCACTGAAAGCCATCTGGTGGAGAGTTTCTAATTAGAAAGAAACTCAATAGAGTTGATTATTGCTGTTTACTCAGTTATGCCAAGATAGTTGTGTTATCATACAAATGCTGTCTCTGAGAAGAGTCATATTACATATGTTGACTGTACCTTTTTACATTCTGTCACCATTTAAATCCAGTTTTTGTACAGTATCCCATCACCCCCTTCCTTTCTTTATAACCCATGAATTTAGAGAGAAGCAGGACTCTGCCTGAAGAATTCTGTGTGACTTGAAGACACTTGCAGTATATTTTTATCTCAATAAAGTTATTGTTCAGATATACAAGCTCAATGGGTTTGGAGCAAGAGGTTGGGAGTTCAGTTCCCCACGGTGCCTCCTTGACAAGGGCTGGGCTTGATGATGATGATGATGATGATGATGATGATGATGATGATGATGATGATGATGATGATACAAGTTTGTACAGTACTTTGGCTTTGTATAAGTACTGTATCAGCTATGAAGCAAGGGATTGGCTCATTATATATCTTATGGAGAAGTGTTGTTTTTAAAAATTGTTATTCACAAGTGAATTGTGAGGAGAGGGTTCCCCAGTTGCCACTAATCCATTTGGTACTCTCTCTCTCTCTCTCTCTCTCTCTCATCCCAACACAGACTTTCTCCTTCTGGAAGACAACCATCTCTTGAAAGATGGCCTTCTTCATAAAGAAATGCCACTGGTAGAATTTCGCTCTTTCCGGCTAGCTGGCTATGGTGAGAATATGAAGCTGATCACCCCAAGCCTCTCAATTTAGTGTGACTTCATGTTTTGTAGACTACCCAAGGATACTATGGACCACCAGAAACAAAGATCTGGGTACTAGATCACTGGAACTTGCAGTGGAAACAAAAACTATTAAATATAAGCTGTCATAATTGGGGCACATCAAGAGAAGACAAAGACTTGCTGGAAAATACAGGACTGCTAGGAAAAATAATACTGAACATCAGTAAAGAAAGCCATGGCCTTGAGTTTGTATAAGCTGACCAAACCCGAGCATGACAGGATCTTTGGGAGGTCATTAATTCAGTAGTTTGTCATAAGTGACTTGATGGTATATAACAGCAGCAACAACCACCACAACAAACTACAACAATCACCCTCTCAGAGAATGGTTGTTTTCAGGAGGTTTGTGTTGTCAGGCACCTATAAATTGGAGACTCTACGAATTAATGACCTCCAAAAGGTTCTGTTTTTAAGAGCTATGCTCAAGTCTGGCGAACTAAAGGCCCTGGGTTTCCCTAACCAAGAGATTTGCAAGCATGATAAATAGATAAATGATTAAAATCATCCTCATGGAGATAAGACAGTGTGAAAGAAGCAAGACCAACAGTATTTAGGTTTGTTACATGTGAACATCTCCGCAGCCTCTTGTCGCTTGCGGATCAATGCCCTTTGTTTTGTGACTGGTCTTCAGACATTTTGTGACATGTCTATCATGTTCTTCTTTTTAAAAAACGATTTCTTAGTCCCAGAAGACCGTTGCAGTCACATATCTGCAAACTAGCTTGATTTCATCTGTAATTATAAGTTACCTGTAATAAAGAAATTGGCCTTGAGGTTAGGAGCCACACATTAGGGGAACGCCTAGCAATGTCCTCTGGAATAGTACTTACAAAAAGGTACAGCCGGGGCTTACAAAAATTAATTGACCTAGAAGTGTTGAAGTAAGACTGAAATGGCTGATCTAGTTGGCTTTTGTACAAACGAGAGTGGGCACCATTTTGATCTCCATCTCAGACAGCAAAACGGCTTGGGACTGTACTGGACTGACAGCTCTGTGAACAAGAACGAGGGATTACCATCCTGTACTCACAATCACCTTCCTTTCCTCTTATTGCTATGACTCAGACCTCTCTGTGCGCATGATCTTGCCGCCGCCACACCAGTGCACCTCCTGTCCCCTGCTGCTGATGCTGTGAGTGACCCCTTCACCCTTGCCTTGCCTCCTTGTTCCACTTCTGCAGGATCTGTGCATTGATTCACCTAGCAGTGGGGAGGGGGCAGTTTGAGGAGGGCAAGGCTGACATCTGGGTGCTTGCATCAGATAATGGAGGGAAGGAGGGAAGGGTGGCAGATAGAAAGGCCTGTCAGGGCAGGGTACTGAACAGGGCGGGGTACTGGCATCTCCTCAAAATCTTCTACACACTCCAGATAGAAGCATTTGATCTTGCATCAATCCAGAGGTGACATTTTTTCTTCCCCAGTCTTGTGAGGAAAGCTTAAGTAATTCCAGGTGATCAACTTGAGCCAGGAAATATTTGACTCTCTAGTTCTTTTGGACTTCCATGAGCTCTGCTCAACATGGCCATTGGTAATAGGCTGACAAAGGTTCCACTAAAAACAAACAAACACAGGAAGCATAGTTTAGATTTGCACTCTTTTGTGGCTGTGTGTGGCAGGAGTCTGTTTTTAGATTTGGCCACTATCACCTCTGCCAGGGTACGGTCTAGAAAGCTTCCAACTCTGATAGCATTTACTTTGGGTTGATGATTTTGGGCTAGGATTTAATTGGTACCTCCAGTGAATACAGAGTTGGAGAATCTGTGTCCCTCCAGAAGCTTCTGGACTCCAGTTCCCCTCATTCTCAGCCAGTCTGGCCAATGGTGAAGCATGGTGGTACTGGTAGTTTCTCAATATATGGAGGGCCATTGGTCCCCTACCCTTGAGTTATTGGAATTTAGATAACAAGAGAGCTGGAATAGAGTTTCTGTGCCAGTCCAAGTAGATGACAAGCCCCAAACTCAAGTGGGTTGGAGGAACAACACAACAGGTGTCTAAAACACCAAAACTATCCCACCACCACCACCACCACCACCATCTTATTGTACTGAAGAAAAGAACAGAACAGAACATCATGTCTCCTGGAATCTATATAAAGTTCCAGAAGGGAGGTGTTTTCCCTGGCATTTAGCTTCTAAACAGTCATAGACAAGGGCCAAAGGTATTGTTTTGATTGTTTCTTGAGATACAAATGCACCAAAGGCCAGCAATGTGAATTTAGTTACTGTTCCAGCCTCTGATGGCTCTTTTTTTCCCAGCCCTGAAGTCCCAGGAAGTCAGATGGCCACTGAGAAATTCCAGCTGAACTGGGATACCATCCTCTCCAGCTCTTTGGGTGTGGTGCTTGTTCGATTTGATGGTCGGGGCTCTGGAAACCAAGGGCTCAAGCTGTTGTATGAGGTCAGCCGCCAGCTGGGCTCCATGGATCTCAAGGATCACATCGCTTTGATGCAGTGAGTCCACTTGAGCCTTTTCAGATGCTGTTCTATATATCATCTGTCTTTCGGTCAGAACCACTCTTTTAGTATCTCCTGTACCTTGAAATTGGATGCAACTTGACGGCAAAATACTTAAGTCAGGCACAGGGTGGCGATAGTGCTCCAAGAAATCAGGTTGCATCCATCTGGGGGGGGGGGGGTTTGCCTTTGTTAGACTTTGTCATTAATTAGTTGATAGGCAATTCACATAATCACTTCCCAATACCTTCCTTTTCTTAAATCCAGTCTGTGGGATAATTTTCTTTTTTTGGTGAATGTAGTTACAATGGGATAAAGACAACAGGATGAAAGATGCCATGCTTAGCTACAGCTTTGGCTAACCAAAGAGTTCCTGTAGTCTAGAGGGCAAACTTGCCAAGCTCAGTTCTTAGCCAAGGTGGGAGGGACAGCTTTCTTATCCACCAAAGGTCCAATTCAAAGGCTCAGATGTTCATTCCAGTCCCAGGTTTTGGGATGTTTCTTTTTAAGGCTCTTGAGAAATCTTGTGGCCTGCTTCCTCCTCTACGGTCCCCACCCTCCAACCCTGTCAAATAATACAGTATTTCTCTCAGATGAGAGAGTGCTTGTGAGCTGTTTTTATGTGGTGGCTCCAGGCAAGTGCAACAACCTGGAGGAGAGAAGGTTAAGTGGAGAGAGGAACAGTTTTACTCTTTAATTGGAGGTTCACACAGAAGAGGTTCACACAGAAGGTGGAGGAGATTTTTCTGTGTTGCTCCAGAGAACACAACTGGAACCAATTGGTGGAAATGGCAGGGAACCCAATTTTAGTTAGGAAAAATCAATTTTAGGAAATGCACTAACAGCAACAGCAGATGGCCGTGGCACAGAATACCTTGGGAAGTGGCGGGTTCTACTTCTTCGAGAGGTATTTAAAAAGATACTCGAAGGCCAGCTGTCAAGGATGTTGTATTTGGGCACACAATTTGCGGACTGCTGCTTGAGTAACCCCTATTCATAATAATGAAATCCTCGGCCTGTCATACATTGGCCCAAATCCAATTGCTGAGCACAGTAAATTGCGGTAGAGTAGGTCCACTGAATCAACTGGGAACTGATGAATCCACTCAAGAGATGGGCATGAACCACCAGCTTGGCAGTTTGCGCCCATTTGTTCAGGGGCCAAACAGATGTTTGGTGCTTTAAAGCCCCACGTCCTCTGGCAGGCGCCCACTCAGATGCAGCAGCCTGGCGGGTCTTTACTGGTGGTTGGTGCCCATCTCTAGTCATTTCCTCCATAAATTCCATTGATTCAAATGGGGCTATTCTAATTGTGACTTCCTATGATAAAGTTGCAAATCCTCATTGATTCAATGGCCCAACTCTAGTGTGATTTACTGTGCAATGGGCTTTTGGCCATTGTATATGCTGAAGCATCTTGTTACATTTACTGTAACTGTTCATTTTTAAAATAAAAGAAGAAACATGTATAATAGAGTGAGTAATCTCACAGTGCATCCCATTGCACTAGAAAAGCTGCAACCAACACACACACACACACACACACACACACACACACACACACACACAGAGACACTCATCAAAATCTTAGTGCCAGTTTGCACTTGCTTAAGAGAGCTGTATCAGCTTTGGGGTAAAATGGCCACTCATTAAAGATGTGCTGGTTACATTCCTGGACATGTGATTGTAGTGAGCGTGCTGGAGCCTCTATTGTCTCAGGCCTCCAGGAGTGCTCACTCTTCCTACTCAGTTGCTGCCACCAATAGTATCAAATATTTAAAAAGACAAAGTGTTGTTTTAAAACTAAAACGTGTTTATTTGAATAACAAAATAAAATGGGTAAATCACAGGTTGTTAATGAAGGTCTCTCACTCACTGACTCACACAGACTCTCCTCTCACTGACTTTTTGGCTCACAGGCCCACAGACACACTAATCTCTCTCTCAAAATTCCTCCCAAATCCCCCTCAAACACCATACACACCCCTTTATATCCCAGCTCCTCCCCCTTTTTGCCCCACCTTCCGTCCCCTCATTGGCTGCTGTTCCACTGCCCAGCTGTGACGGACAGGTGAGGGCAGGGCTGAACGCTACAGTGATCAGACGCATGCCCAGGAACACAAGGAGCCTCTCATTAATAGACAGCAATTGCCACCAAGACTTGCATGATTTTCCTTACACAAGCATGAGTTGAATGAGGCTTACTTTCAGGTCAGTGGGCATAGTGTGGCAACCTTAGGAAGATTTACTGTTGTACTCTGGGTCAGCCTTGCCATTAGACAGAATAAGGCAGTCACCTCAGTCAAATTGTTTTGGATGTCCTGAGCAGAGCATTGATTTATATATATATCCAGATAGAGATTGTATATGAATACAAATACCCACATCTCTATCTGAAAATACAAATACCCCCACACAGGTGGACATAACGATATAATGATGAAGTTATGGGAACAAGCTACTAGAGGGAGCCAGAGACCATGTTAATATATCAAGCTGCTGCCTCTTCTCTTCAACCTCCACAACTTGTTTGTGTATAACAGCCAGCCTGGTGAAGAGTTTCAAAAGAAGTGCTAGCTTCTTCTGATTTTAATAAGTATTGCTTCCCATTGTTCCTTCATTTAGAGTTTAGAATTAATGAACAGGTAAATAAGCTGCCCCTTACTGAGAGGCAGTGGTGGTTGAAGTCCCTGAGCTTCCTTGCTTTTCTGATCATGGATGGGGCGAAAAACAAAGACTAGATAAGATAGGGAGGTGTGTGCACACATACCTGTGCATTAATTTGCAGCTGTTTGGAAGCAAGAAATTAGAACCTCAACTTAACTCAGATGATAGGAAATCAAATCAAAAGAAATACAGAAGAGTTAAAGCCAAAGGCTGGGGAAGAGGCATCCTCAAGATGTGATTGGACTGCAGGGGCACATGAGCTCTAGGAAGTAACCTCAATGTAGACAGAACAGCAGTCCAACAACCGCTAAGGGTGTCACACGTTTCCCAGTTCTGTATGGACCGAATGGGAGAAAATAACTCTTGGGTGGGGCATGGAAAATGCAGGCCTGAGGAGGGATGGGTGGGAGGCAATGTCAAAGTGTTGGACTGAAGAGAGTCTTCCCCCTTGTGCCACAGGTGGCTGTTGCAGCTTCCCTACATAGATCGCAAGCGCATGGCGGTCTACGGAAAGGTAACTCATATTGGCTGGAGAAACACAAGGTTGCTTTCTGCTCACCCGCCCGTCTTGAAACTGAAGTAAAATAGTTCAGCCAGTGTTTAAGCTACTGCCTCCCCTATATTACATATTGACTCCCACGAGACTTTTGAACTAGTCAAAGCCATTGTCTTTGCACAATGCACCTCTGTTTTATGGCAATGAAGGAACTTGAAAAAGCAATGGCTGGTGAAGCTGGAAGTCTCTTCAAGGAGAAGACTCCCCTCCCTCCCTCCCCCCGCAAAAAAGACATAGGCAGAGCTGACCACCTCAGCGGGGCTGAAGCACCCAAGCTTTGACCTTGGATTGTTTATTGTTGAAACAATATAGGAGCTTGCTCATCGCACGAGTCCCTAAAGGTGTGCAGATTTCTGATTTTGGACTACAACCCCCAGAATTCTATGCTGCTTGGAGAATACTGGGAGTTATAGTCCAGAAACACAACTCTCCATGCCTCTAGGGATCCCCAGCCTAAACCCTACGTAGAGCTGTCCATGGTACTAACTGGAACTCTTAAGCTTTGCCTTGCCTTGTCAGTATTCAAATCTCCTTCTTCACCTGGAACCTCATCTAGCTAAGTCTGCCCCCTTTGACAGAACCAGCTACACTAAAGCAGAAAGTCCTTGGTCTGAAAGAAGAAGAAAAATTCACTGCATAGGCATTTTATTCTTCCTACCAGCGTTTCTACCCATGCTGATTCTTACCCAACATTTAACCTATGGGTGGCTATCACTATGATAAAGCTTTTATACAAGCAACTAGTAGGAAGCTGATCCCACATCAGAACAAGACATGCTTATAAACATAGGTAATTGGAATGCAAAAGTAGAAAACACAGCAGAACCAAATGTTGGAAAATTTGGTCTGGGAATCAGAAGTGAAGCAGGGAAATTACTCCTAGAGTTATTATGCAAAGCCAAAAACCAGTTTATCGCAAATGCATGTTTCAAGCAACCAAACAGATGGCTGGATATCACTGGATGGCCAATATAGAAATGTAATTCGAAGCAGGAGATGTTCTGCCAAAACAAGACCAATTATGCCATATTGTGGTATTGAACTGTTAATATCCAACATCCGAGTAAAGCTGAAAAAGAACACTAAAAGAATCCTAATGCCAAAATATAATTTAAACATCATTCCTGATTAATTTAAAGTCCACATAAGGAATAGATCTGCATTACTAAACTCATTTCACCGTGAACCAGAAGAACGGTAGATTGAAACCAGATATATTATTAAGGAAAATTGCAAAAAGACAAGTCATGTAGTAAAAAGAAAAGAAAAACCTAGATGCTTGATAGAAGAAATACTTGAAAGTATAAAGGAGAGACAATCTGGATCGCAGCCAACTCTGGAACTTCCTTTCTCTCTCCCTCTCCATGGTGTCAAATTTTTCAGTCTTCACTTGGCACTTAAAGTTTATTTTAATCAAGGTCCAATTGTATACGTTCATATCCCATGTCAGAGGAACTAAGGCTCTCTTCCCTTCCCCTTCCTGCTGCAGGCCATTGTAACACTACAAATCTGTTCCAGAGGGTTTTCTGTTCCTCCTGAGCATGTTTTTGGAGTGTAAGAGGCTAAGCTGCAGAAAAGAAGTGGGCTTGATGGGACTGGAAGAACTAGCAGAAGTTGGCTGTAGCATCCTGACCATTGTTTCTTTAGGCATTTCATAGTTTTACAGTATGCTTTTTTGGGGGGGGGGGGGATCTGATGGTTCAGTGAATCTGCTGCTGCTTGACTTTTCATAGGGCCACATGTGATTGTGTGCTAGAAAAGGCAAATTTTATTTTAAAGTTTCCTATTCCACTTTGGAACTGTTTTGTTACAACATGGCATGTGTGTTTAGTTTTTGGTCTCTCTCCCTCTAGGCCTATGGAGGCTTTTTAGCACTAAAGCTCATGGCAGCAGTGGAAGACCTCTTCAAATGTGGTGCCGCAGTGGCACCCATCACCAGCTTTCGTTTCCATGGTGAGTAGCAAGCAAGGAGGTTCACATACCTATTTCGTTTGGATTTTGAAAGGCATTTGAATTCTGCATGATTCTGCAAAGGAGTGGAATTGTGCTCATTGTATAAGTCCTACAACGTTATGGCTATGTTTAGAACCTTCCTAAGGAGTACAGAAACATGAAGCAGCGAAACCTTTCATTAGCTGACTGGGACCCAGGGACAAGGGCTGGGAGGGCCAAATCTTCAAGGTCTGTATCTTCCGTGGGCACCTTATGGTAGGACTTTGGGGGACACCACCAGGGCGCTTTTGAGCAGAATAAGGGGAATCCTGAAACTGAGCAGGGGTGAGCGTTCCTATCCAAAAGCAGGAATGGGAGGTTTCTCTTGTTAAGCCATTGTTTTAAGTTCAGAGTCTAGAGTTCTGTAATGGCATTCCTGTTCCTGCTGTGGGACTTTGCAGCTGTGGCTTTAGAGGGGAGGCAGTGAAGGGGAAAGGCAACCCTAAATATCCCTTTTTGTCTCATGCCATAGCTGCCACCTTCTCTGAACGGTACCTAGGAATGCCAGCTCGTGAAGATGCTGCTTACACGGTAAAGAAACAAGGATACCAAAGATGATTTCCCTCATTTTTGCACTGTCTTCTTCTCCTTTTCTCCTCTCCCTGCCACCACCGTTGCCGGCTGAATGAGGTAGGGACTGGTAGGCCTGTCCGCCAATCCTGTCTTGAGGGCTACTCATGCAGAGAGGCCTCCCAAAGTCCACAAACAACACTATACTGCAGAGGAGAATATTGGTGGCAACAGATACAAGACACTTTGGGTTTAAAACAAGGCACAGGGGAATCACACACCTTACGGTGAGATGCAAATTGCACAGCCAGAAGGACAATTAAGCTTCAAAGCAAAGTGCATGCTCCCCATGCACCTTCTCTTTAAGCAGAAGTGTCTCAGTCTTTGCCATGTCATTGGTGGGGAATTGGCCTCTGGTAGTTGGGAGGGGATCCTAAAAGGACCAACGCCCGTTTCCTAGATGTTTCCTCCATGCCTCCTTCTTGCATACTTTGCGCCACACTGGGAGTTCAGAAGACGCCGTTTGAAACAGGGAAGAAACAATCACGATTCAAACACCATAGTCAGATTGCTCCCTCTTTAAAGCTCCTCTCTGCTTTGTTCCATCCTTTTACTTTACAGCTGCTTGACAGGAAGCAACAAAGCAAAAGAACCATAAAGTGAGGAGGAAAGCTTGGCCTATGGCTTATCATGCACTTTTCTACCTTTTCCTGTATGTTCATTTTCACCTTTTCCACTTCCTCCCCCAGGTGGCCTCTGTGTTGGAAGAAGCTCCCCGCCTCAAGGATAAAAATATCCTGCTTGTGCATGGAACCGGAGATGGTAAGATGGTAGCGGAGGGTTGGGCCTCTCCTGGTTGACTCCCCTCCCTGCGAACCAAAAGCAATGCTTCCCTAGATGATGGAGTCATGGCAATGTTAGCTGCTCCAGGATTTGACTGTTGTCAGCCTAGGATAATACTGGGTTATATGAATGATGTAAACATGCTAGTTAACTGGTTTTCTTTCAGAGGAGATAGAACGAGTTAATTTGAACACCAGACCTGTCCTTTCTTAACAGAAGTTTATATATATAACCCAGGTTGAGTCTTTGTGCAACACTCTTAACCAGTACAACAAACAATTTATTCTTACCCTTGTCAAATGGAGTGAGAAGAGGCAACAGACCTTTTACTTAACTTGTCGTTAGAACAGGTTATTCCTTAACTGCCGAAATCACTGAATGTCCAGCAGAAGCTTCTCTCCTGCAATTTGCAGACTAGTTTGTTTTGTGATTGATCTTTAGGACTTAGGCACTCCACGCATCTCTCTATGACTAATATGCTTTCAACTCTAACTTGTTGAAAAACAGCCCTGACAATTGATTTGTGTTTGGATGAAGAGTGGTTAACTGGTGATGAAAAAAGGAATCACCTTCTGGGATTTTCCCTTGTGTGGTGTCACTTTGTGAATAGTAGTGAGCACAAGAGGGTATCCTATATACCAGTGGTCCTCAACCTTTTTGATACTGTGGACCGGTTGGGGGGATGGGGTCCATGTGCGGGGGTTTGGGGCACCCCCTGCGCTCATGCACATTCGTGAAGGGGCTGTATTCACTCACGTGGGCACTTGTACACATGCATGAAGTGGCAGGGGTGCTCGTGCATCACGCGCACACACTTGTACTCGTGTGCGAAGGGGCATGTGTGAATGCAGGGCACATGTGCACTCACACGCATGTGCAAAGGGGCTGCACTGGTGGGGCAGAAAATCTGTCTCCGCCACCCAGTCTGGCCAAGACCAAGGCCTGGCACAGGGCCGTGGACCGGGGGTTAGGGACCCCTGCTATAGACCATCTTGACTGCTGCCATTGGTGTTATCAACATTCAGGCTGCCTTTTGCTATGTAAAACTTGCCATTCTTTTTCCTGCTGGCAATGCAGGCACAATATTGCGTAGCAATATCAGGCCATTTCCTAGCTTTTAAAATCATGGATGAAGAACCACAATATCACACAACCGGAGGTAGATGAACCAAATCTACTTCTAGCAAGAAGCTCTTCTTCAGCCCTCCAATGTGCCACATAGTTCATATTCTCCCTCTTTCCTCCCACAGCCACAGTTCATTTCCAGCACATGGCTGAACTTCTCATCCAGCTGCTAGCAGCAGAATCCAACTACACCACCCAGGTAAGATGTAGTGGGAAGCAAGGATCAAATTTCTCACAGTAGGAAGCGCCCATTACTCTATACCATTGCAACACTCACTCCACTTGTATGTGCCGTGGGAAGGTCCATGGATTTAGTCTGTTTGCCCAGGCTTTGTCCTTTTGGAAGGAGGTCACATGGAAGCTTCAAGTCATAGTGTAATATCTATGCTTGTTTACAAGTATACGGGATGGGATTAGTTTAAACACCCCAACGGTGTTTAAACTATTCTCATCCTGAGTGATAGGTTATCTAGACCAATGATCTGCTGATACATGGAGTCTACAATATCTCTAATAGAAGGTCATCCGGTCTCTGCTTAAAAGCCTTAGCAAATCGGTCTCTAACATTTTCTGGAGAACTCAGGATCACTCTCAAGCAGCTCGTTCTCTTGTAGGTTTTTTACAAATTGTTACTTGAAGTTTTTCTTCTAGTAACCCAAACTCTGTGGTACATGTGCAGGTCGTGCCTAGTGCAGCCCTCTTAAGGGCACTGGCCTCAATCCCATCCATGTCGTGATCAGAGCCAGCGGGACACCAGTGGCCACGACACATCTCCTGAGCAATGCCTGTCCCCTATTATTCAGCATGTCTGTATCTAGTTCATATCCTGCCTGCCTTTCCACTGACCTGAATTCCTGGCCAGATGTCCAGCTCCACAGAGTAGAGTTCTTTATTGGAATGGATCAATTAAAAATCAATTAAAAACACTGATGTTTCGGCAGGCCTTCCCCTCAGCCAATTCCTGATCTTCCCTCTTTTTTCCTCTCTCCTAGTGTTTGTCCCATCTTGTCCAAAGTTTCTCCCCTTATTTAAAATTGTTTTAATTATATTGTATTACGCTTGTTGTAAGCCGCCTAGAGTGGTCTTAAGTGACTAGATAGGCGGGATATAAATAAAATAATTAAATAAATCCTCTTTCCTTTTCCTTTTCCTTTTTTTTAAAAGACTGCCCATTCTAAGCTCTGACGATTGATAAAGAGCCACAGGAAAGAGGGAAAGCAAGGAGAGTATATGCACATGTTGTGTGAACTATATGTGAATCCATGTCCTCTTTGCCCCACCCTCTTCTTTTTTTTGGAGGGGGGGAAGGTGCTGGAGCCCACCTGCCATGGGCAGCAGTGGTAGCCTCTGGGGCCTCTGAGGCCTTTGGGCCCGCTTCTACTGACCTTAACCTGGAAAGACAAGTTTTCCTACACAGGTTCCCTGGGGTCTTGCCATTGGCTGGCTTCTATAAATGGTTGCCACCATGAAAGAAAACAAGGATCTCTTAGCTGGTACTCTGCAAAGCACTTCTGTAAAGCAGAGGAGGGGGGAGGCAAGAGACTCCCATAGTCTTTCATATATTAGTGTCAAAGGTGAGGAGATGTTTCCTTAAATCACCAGGTGCATAAAGGAAGGGCCAGGTGAAGTGTTTCCAGAACCTGGAACTTTTAGAAAGGATGTCATTGAATCAACTTCCTTATTTTGAGCCAGTCAGATTAACAGTATGGCTGCTGCTGCTGCTGCTGCTACAACTATGAAAGGAATGATTTGCATGATGCGTTAGCTGGCACCTTACTGGTGTACAGCATGACGGAAAATTACAGGCAGCTGCCCTCTTGTTCCTTCTGGTTGCCATTTCTAATATTGCACCGGGAAAATGTTGTTCTGTAAACTTATTGACATCCTAATAGGGGTTTCACGTTATGTGAGATATTTAAAGAATGGTGAGTTTGACTCCCCACTGAGCATTCCAAAAGAACCAGCCTGTGTATCCTTGAGCAAACTGCATAGCCCCAGGGTGCTCCCAGAAGAAGGGAGTGGGAAACCACTTCTGAGTACACTCTCTGTCTAGGAAACTGTAGAGAGGGTCACTATTTCAGGTCAATTCTGAGTCAGAATTGACTTGAGAGCACATAATAATTATTATTGACTATTGCCACCAACTGCAAGTGAGTCTCCATGGCCAAGTAGGAATTTAAACCCAGGTCTTCTGAATCCTAATCCATCACTCTATCCACTACAAAGACTCAATAAAAATGCAAAAGACAGGGTCACTACAGATAACCAACTTGGAACAAACTTTATTCCACATAATAACAAAAACAATCCCTGCATAGGACTGAAAGGAGAATGACAGATTCTCTAAAAAGGCCTCTGAACATAATAACATTTCCAAGTAGCTAGAAAATGTTTCCCATCGCATCAATAAAGCAACTTTGTCCCATTTACTTTTTGAATTTAACTTAATCTGTGACATCAAGTTAATTCTGACCTATGACAACCCTTTGCTGGGTTTTCTAGGTACAGACTGCCTATAGTTTGCCATTTCCTTCTTCTGGGGGCAGCTGAGTTTTCTAGGTACAGACTGCCTATAAATAGTTTGCCATTTCCTTCTTCTGGGGGCACCCTGGGACTGTGCAGCTTGCCCAAGGACACACAGGCTGGATTTTCTCCTGGGAGGTACGATGGGGAATTGAACTCCCAACCTCTAGCTAGCTCTACAGCATTTTCTCCTGGGAGGTACAATGGGGACTCGAACTCCCAACCTCTAGCTAGCTCTACAGCCAGATGCCTAACACACTGTGCGAACTAGCCATGTTTGTAACTTAACTGCACTCTTTTAACTCAAAATGTGATCAGTTAGAAGTACATTACTTTTATCTAGTTATTTCTAAGCTTGACATTTTCCACCCAATACTTTGAAAGGTTACTGAGCTGTGACCCCCCCCCATTCCCCTTCCCCTATGCTTGGAGGTGGGAGGGCAAGGGACGCTCTTCCTCTTTCCCTGCCTGAGAAAGGACAGTCAGCCAGTGCTTCTGGGTGAGAGTTTGGACCTGGGAAGGGAAGGAAGAGGGAACACTTACAATTGCTGATCAATGATGAGAGACAGAGGAAAATCCAGAGGCAGGCCTTGGAGGAGGGGGCTGGAGAGCGAAGGTAGGACTGGCTGAGATACTTCCTGGGGCAGGATGGGGAACACGGGATTAACCCTCCTGGCCGACCATGCATCTTTTCTCCAGATCTACCCAGATGAAGGCCACACATTCTCTTCGGACAGCAACCGACGGCACCTCCGCCAGACCCTCGCTTCCTTCTTCCAGGCCTGCTTTAAAGATTCAAGACACAGCCATCTATTAGCTGAGGACGATGAGGATTCCTAGCGCTCTTCCAGCGGGATACCTGCCATTTGCCAGGCGCCACACTCCCTTGGCCTTTTCTTTGCTAGGCTGACGACCATGCATGGTAGTACTCTGCACATCCTCAGTGCCACCGCTGTACATGTACTGCATTAAGCACACAATCTGGCTCTGGTGACCAAACTGGGCCTTGTGGAGATCTCCACTTCCAGATTCATTTTTTTAAAAAGTGTATAGATCATATCTTTTGTGCACACATAATGCCCGTGGGACACTCTAGAGCCAGAGGAATGACTGAGCAGGATTTCCAATGGTCAAAGGATGGTTTGTTCCCCATCACTGCCCATCTCCCTTGCACATTCCTTTTCCCGCCCTGATGAATTGTAACAACACAAGGAATTATACATAAGGGCTGGTCCTGACAAGATGAAAAGAAGCATGCTGTTTCACTCCCCTCTCTACATGCTGTTAAGGGTCATCTGCTGAATCTTCCATTTCCAAATCCAACCTCAAGATGGTTTTTGTTGTTCTAAATAAAAACAAACAGAGAGAGAGCTATGTGGTCCACTAAACAATACAGTACAGGAGAGGTGATACCTTTATTAGACCATCCAAATCATAACATTCAGCATGAGCTTTCATGATTTTAAAAAAAATCACTTCTTCAGGCTTGCATCCAAATCTTGCGGAGAGCGCAGAAAAATTATAAATGATTTGTTTCAACATTTCATGGCAGAAAAGTCTGTCAGGTATATATCCCTGAAAGAGTCGATTCCAGCAAGAAACCAGATTACCATTTCCAATCATATCAAGATTCAGCTATCAAGATAAAAGTTGTTTTGCTGTTGCAATGATTCCATTGTTGCAATAATTCTACAAGCTTTATCTACATTGGTTTTATACATCAAAATACCAGAATTAACACAATGTACGTTTTTGGGGGATGAATTTTTTCCACTCCCCTTAATTATTTTAGCACTCGACCACAGCCAACATTTGAAAGGTTGACACTTTGCCTGCTCGGGTCTCTAGCACCTCATTCTGTTCCGTAGCTGTAGGCTAGGCAAATTCCTTCCTGCACCAAGTATCCTGCACTCAAGGTATAATAAGGCTGCCAATTTCTCTGTTCAGTACCCACAACAGATTAAGGAGGGGGAGCCTTCCCATCACTTTATGGCTGTGAAAGAACAAGATTTGCCTCTTAAAGAAAAAAAAAAAAGACCAGAGCAGGGGGAAGGAACGTGGCCCCCTCTGCAGCCCTTTGCTTCAGTCAGATTCTGAGTTATTGCCATGAGTTCCCAACAAGGCTTTTTGCCTTCCAGACTCCTTCCTGGCCCTCGGGCAGCATGACTGCTACTTGCCACTCCCAAGTCCATCGATCAGGACTGGGCTGGATCCACAGTAACCCTTGATCCCTCCAGATATTTCGACAGACAGATCTTTGAGAATCAGGAGCAGCAACATCCGACTTTCCCACAGACCCAAGTGGCCGAAAAAACTAAGGTAACACTATCTGATTTAAATCTTGGAGGTTTGTGGATTCCATCTCTCTCTCTCTCTCTCTCTCTCTCTCACGGCTCACGCACAGCCACTTTTTAAGAACTGTGTTTTTTTTGGAAGATATTCCAAAGTCGACCTTCACTCAGGTGGTAGAGTTGTGACTACCACCAAGGACCTTCTAAACCGGGCAAGGCAACATCTTGACAACTTGGGGAAGGGGGGACTTTTTGCCTCAAAGCAGGCAATTGTAGCTGTTATACACCATTTGTGTCATAATTTGCAAGGGTGAGAAAAGCTGCACCTTCCAAATGTAGCTGAGCTGCAAAGGTGGGAGACAGTGTGGTGTAGTGGATAGTGATAAACTACAACTCGGGAGAATTGGGTTCAAATTCCACCTGAGATATGGAAACTTACTAGAGGATTTTGGCACTGGTAAATATCTCACATACCTTCACAGCCCTGTTATGGTTGATATAAGTTAGATGCAATTTGATGCGCAGAAAACGAAGCTGTTATGCACAGAGGAGCACTATTTTCCACAGCATCACCTGGGCCTATACCTGCCTTTCATTGTACTAGGACCTGACTGTCAATGGAAACCAGCTTCTGCTGCAGTTCAGGTTTCCTGAAATCAGTTCAGGCATCTTCTTTGTATTCTCTCCATGTGTCTACGTACATATGCCTGTCCATGCATACAAAATGGGTTCTGTTAAAAGCCAGCCTTATACAGTGGTACCTCGCTAGACAGTTACCTCGCATGACAGTTTTTTCGCTAGACATTGACTTTTTGCGATTGCTATAGCGATTCGCAAAACAGTGATTCCTATGGGGGAATTTTGCTGGACGTTTGGTCTCTGCGTCGCAAACCGATTTTCGCTAGGCAACGATTTTGACAGCTCCCTCTGCGCTCACAAAACAGGTGTTTTGGGACCTAAGCTTTGCAAGACAATTTAAACAACTGATCAGCTGTTCGCAAAGTGGCTTTCCTATGGCTGATCTTCACTAGACAATGACAATTCTGCCCCATTGGATCGCATTAAACAGGTTTCAATGCATTTCAATGGGGAAATGATTTTCACTAGACAATGATTTCGCTAAACAGCGATTTCAGTGGAACAGATTATCATCGTCTAGCGAGGCACCACTGTAGTTTTGATCTTTAATATGTGTGAAAAGGAAAGAGGCTCTGTTTTTCCCGTTGTAACAATATTTTCCCAAATAAAAATAAATTACTTAGGGACTCAATTATTTTTCTGTTAAATTGCAGTTTCTGTGCTGATCTCAAAGAGGATGATGGATGGATGGATGGATGGATGGATGGATGGATGGATGGATGGATTGGATGGATTGGATGGATGGATTGGATGGACGGACGGACAGACAGATAGATAGATTGTTCCAAGGTCCTTGCTCCAGAGCAGCATGGAAGTGGTAACTAATAAAGTGATGGTTTGCTTTAAACCCATATCAAGGAGGTATGTGACTGACAACTGAATAAGAGAAGTGCTCTGTTCCAAAATATTATGAGTTGAAAAGGCTTTCTATAGGGTTAGAGCTGGGATATGCTTCTTTACACACATAGGTGGTCAACGTAATTTTTGGACCTCATCCAAATCGCAGGGAAACTGTTATGTGTGAATCAGGCTTTAAGAACTGTAACCATGTGGGTCAGCAACACAATTAATTTTTTAAGAATGCAGTTTGCAGGCAAATTCTAGCACAGGGCTGTGATTTAAATGGAAAATCGGCACAATTAAATTTTTAGTTCTTCTAAGAGATATTAATTCTGTTCTTGGAGTCACATGGAGGGGCAGAGGTAGAGCAACATTGCCTTTAAAACAGGGAAGGACTCTGCTTTCTTTGCTCATGTGGCTCCCTGCCAGTTTTGCATTTCCCTCCTCAACCATCCACACCGTTTCAAATAGATTCAGGATTTGTTGTAATCCCACATAGCTTTCTCTTTAGCCAGACTCAAGCTCTAATGGCATACTTGGACTGGATCCCATTGCGGCTACTAGAATCAGCATCCTCACCCAACCTTGCCGCACCATAGAAATCTGTTCAGGAGGGAAAGTAAAAACTCTAGAGCAGATTTTTGGGACCACAGGAGAAGTGGCAGAGGAAGAATGTCCCAACCCATTGGTACTGGATGTGGAAGGACATCATGGGGGTCATCATGCACGTACCATGGACAGTTGCAGCAATTTGTTCCCACTAGGATTTGTAGTTTGGTCAGGCACTCCTAATTCCATGCAAGAGAGTTCTAGTGCATTCATCTGAATTACAACACTGGAACTCTTCAGCAAATAATCCTTTGTAATTCACCAAAGTATGCATCCCACTCTTCCAAAGGAGGAAAGCATGGTAGTTTAAAGTAGTATCAAAGTCCTGCTCTGACAGCATAGTGTAGTGAAGATCTTGGCTTCAGTCACTGTCCCATAAAGGGAGGAGAGCTGTTCTCCTATAACATTATACAGTATGATATGATTGCAGCAGTTAAGCAAGTTGGGTAATGGTTCTGTCTCAAAAGCTTTAGCAATGTTTTCCAAGTGACTCAAAATCACTTGAGGGGAAATCATTTGGTATTCGCCAACGCACCATCTGTTTGACAGAGTATCGAGAAGCCAGATACAAAATGATTTTACAACTTAAAGTTGATGTGTTGGGGGGGGGAATTGCTTCATTAAATATTGTGCTCCGCTGTAAATATTTGCTTCAATCCATATACAGTGGACCCTCTACTTAAGGAATTAATCCGTACTGGAACGGTGGCTGTAAGTCGAAAAGTCTGTAAGTCGAATCTCCATTGACCTACAATGCATTGAAAACTGATTAATCCCACAACTGGCAGTTTTTATTCTATTTTTGTTCCATTTTGGTTTTTTTCTGGTCTGTAAGTCGATTCTCCGGCTGCAAGTCGGATCTAAATTTTGCAGCCAGAGAAGTCTGTAACTCGAAAAGTCTGTAAGTCGAGCCGTCTGTAAGTCGAGGGTCCACTGTACCATTGTCTACATGAGCTCCTTTGGAGCAGGCTTGTGTTTGGTCTAAATAGGGTCACTTAAGGTTGGGTAGAGGTCCAGTATGCCATTTGGTGTGATAAAAAGGTAAAGGTTCCCCTTGACAATTTTTTTTGTCTGCGCTTTGTCCGAAGACAATCTTCCGTGGTCACATGGCCAGTGCGACTTAGACACGGAACGCTGTTACCTTCCCACCGAGGTGGCCCCTATTTATCTACTCGCATTAGCATGCTTTCGAACCGCTAGGTTGGTGGGAGCTGGGACAAGCAACGGGCGCTCACTCTGTCGCGTGGATTCGATCTTACGACTGCTTGGTCTTCTGACCCTGCATCACAGGCTTCTGCGGTTTAGCCCGCAGCGCCACCACGTCCCTCATTTGGTGTGATACTTGCATTCAAATGGTATACACACACACCCCAAGCAACCCTATTTGGTCTGGTTTCTGCCACAGTCAATTTCGCATATCATGAAGTGGTTTAAAAAAACAGCCACTTCATGGTACTGGCAGCTTAAAGACTTCCTCTGTTCTACAGGTGTAGAGGAATTTTTTTTAATTACACTGCATTAGAACAATGCTGATGTGCTGCACCACTTATAAAAATATAAACAATTGAAAAATTCCTCCAGGAAACAGGAGAGGCAACAAGGGGATTTCCTTCCCCCCCTTTCTTTGTGACTTTTTAAAAAGGTCAGGTCTAATGATGGGGATATTTGTATTCCTATACAAATATGAATACTCCTGCACAGCTGGACTTAACAAGGGAACGGCCCCTGGGGCCGGAGTGTCCACATTCGCCGGTGGCGGCAGCCTCAGTCAGCCTTCCAATCGCTCCCGGAGCGCCGCTCTCTTTCCGCTCATCTAGCCAACACCAGGCAGGGGAAAGGCTGTTGAGGGGCTACATGAGCGGAAAGAGAGCGGCGCTCCGGGAGCGACTGGAAGGCTGACTGAGGCTGCTGCCACCGGCGAACGCGTGAGTGGATGGTCTGGCCCCAGGGGCCGTTCCCTCATTAAGTCCAGCTCTGCAGGGGTATTCCTATATGAATAGGAATACCCCCATCTCTAGTTAGGTCAAGAACCTGCCCGAGCCAAATCCGCTGCTGAGTAGTGGCCACAGTGAAGTCAGCTGAGGGAGGGGTCTTAACCTCAAGAGAAACAGGCTGAGAAGTATGTGTGACAGCCACCCTCTTGTCTTCTCCCTTCGATTGCAGAACAGAGTTGTGTATGCCACACAACATGTCCTAAACTCCCGCTGCCTCAGGTATGATGTGGTGACCATTATATCTGAATTGTTGTTAATTCATGATTTTCACAATTATCCCACACGAGAAAAGGTACCACACATATTCTGCATATTTTCAGGAGCCATGCCCTGGCTTCTTTCTCCTTCCAGGCCTTAGTATTTCTCACTCTTTCTCTTGGTGCTTCTTTTCCTAACTATTGCTTCTCTCTGCCTCCCATGGAATAGCTGGATCATTCTTAAAAAGACAGTGGCACAGAACAAAGCTTCAGTTCCAAGGATTTCAATAGCCCATGTAGCCTCTTCAACCAATATACAACATGGCTTAAAAACAGATTTAAAGTTTTCCCAAGAGGATGCACACACTGGCCCAAATTCCTTGTGACTATCACGTGACTTTAACCCAATTTCAAACCCCCCGATCCAGCTATCACTTTACTTTCATAGTGTAACCATGCTCTCTGAGAACATTTTTATTTAAATTAAACCAAAATTGCATTATTTAGATTAGGAAACCAAATGTTGTATGGCAGTCACAATAATGTGGCTTGCCAGGAGCCAGCCCAAACTCCCCTGCTGTTTTGGCTTCTCTCAAGCAGGGAGAAAAAATGGCCATTGACTAGGTTTATCCTATGTGTAGATACATTACTATAGAACAGGCATAACTGTGCAATATAATGGAAATCAGCTCAGAAGTACTTCCAACTGAGTTAAAAGGTCTCATAAAGTGAGATAAAGCATTCTTATC